ATTTGGGATTGGCTGGAGTTGGAAAATTAGGGAACAATTTTTAAAAATTGAATCAGAGAAACAAGATTAAAATCCGCAACTAAGAGATGGAAACATTTTCGGCGACAGCAGCTGAATTCATGGAGATCAAATCACCGATCGAATGGCGCCCTAGATTTTCTGATCATTTAGACAGCCCAGAAGGAAAGTGTAGCGTGTGGCAGGCACCCATACTACTGGCGAATTTAAATGAAATGTCTAACCCCAAAAAGCAGAAAAATCAGTCAATTGGCATAAATAATAATAATAATAATAATAAAAAAAAAAAACATACGAAAATGGTGTCGTTTTTTGTTAACTGCATGGCAAACCTGTAATAAAGTGCACACTTGTTACTTTCTAACAATGACAAAATGGGACACTTGTCATCATTTAAAGTGTATACACTTCTTCATATAATAAGAGAGACTAGTTGTCACACGGCCGTGCACGCACGGCCGCCTCAAATTTAGTTGATTATTAAGATAAAATTTTGCTGTACGCATTATCCGACCGTGGTAAGTCCCTTATTTGTTTTTCATCATTTATTTTAATTTTAATATATGTTGACATAATGCTAAACTAATCAATTGAATTTATAATTTGTTTTTTATTATATTATTAAGTTTTAGACTAATTATTAAAATTAAGAAAAAAATCTAGAATGTGTATCTTGAAAATAACAACAAAGCAAGCCATGATAAAGAAGAACAGACTTACTACGCAAAAATAAAAATACCTGTTGCCAGAGAAAACGACATAAATTCAGCTTACGTCCCGCTAAGACACAGAAACAATATATCACACCTTCAGAATATCCATAAACCGGTTTAACATCTAAAATCAGGCAAAGGTTGAACATCCAAATTACACTGGACCCATTACCATGAAACTGGAAGACATGAGTCACCACCTCCAAGTGCCAACCCGCCCGATGAATGAGTCGCAACCACAGCAGCAAGAAGTGGTCCTACTACTCAAGTAAGCCAATAGACATTATATTTACTCATGCTTGGAAAGAAATGATTAAATGTGATTATCTTTTAATTTTCTTCTTTGTACTTCCACTTTCAAGAGATTGGAGTTACAGCGGAAGAGAAAATAATCTGAGAACAAATTATTTGATATGAGTTTTGGTCTTTGAATTTGATAATAGGGAAAAAATCATCCTTTAGAATGAAATATTTACTCAAAAAATCTAGGTAAACCAATATATTAAAAAATAAACCCGCTCAGTAAACACAGTTCGACTCAATTTAGGTTTTAATTTGTGTTTTTATTAATATATNTTAAAAAAAAAAAAAAAGAAAACTTCTACTCTACTATAAATGTCAAACTTTTTTTGGTTGAAAAATAAAGTATCTAATTCTACCATTCATTAGGTAAATGAAATACCGATAATTTTGAGTAACCAAATGCATATACAATTTTTATTTTTATTTTTTACATTTTTTAGACATTTTTTCGAGTTGATATTTGTCGTGAAAATACAAAAAAATTGAGAGGCAAAAATTTACAGAATCCATTATAAATGCATAATGAGCACCAAGAATCTCCTATCGTACACAATTCATTGGCACCAAGCTATAGATACTATAATCATACATTAGCGTTTTGACATTTAGACCACGAATACATAAGTAATAAAACCTTTTAGGAAAATAAGCATGAATAAATATTCCAACGGGTCTATATAATCTGATCTATGATCCATGAAAGAAAGAATTTTCTTCATGTGTAAAAGTCGGGTAAAGTTAAAAGGCCAGTATTTTAATTATTTGATTGAGCAATGGACATGGGAACTTTCATGTTGAATTCATGCTTGGCCCTCTCAACCATGTTCAAATATATCAATAGTTATTAGTCTTTTTAAGTAAGATGGCAAGGACCGAAACTGGAACTTGATCTCAACAATCACAGCCATAATTCTATTCCATCCCAAACAAAATTTTATAATTTATTATATTCCATTTCATACACAAACAGAAGATAAAAACCCGAACCAAGGACAATAATATCTATATTTCATATATTCCATATAGATCAACTCTCCACAAAAGACATTACACTTTAAAACAAATCAAGAAGTCGGGCTTTCGGAAGCCTCTCCAGAGTTTATATATAATCCTGTCAAAAAATATTATTGTTTTTAAAAAAAAAAAGAGATTATCGTCTTTTTCTATAAAGATGATCGATGAAGTGAAATTATAAGAATTTGGAGTTCAAGAGTATAGATACTTGAATCTCAGCTGCCACAGCAGATATGTCGGCATTCTTTGTAAAGAAGTTCATTGTTTTGCCTTGAACAATAATAATTTTACTTCATCAATTTTTACAGTATCTTGGTCATTTAACTGAGAAGATATTTACCAGCCACCTTGGAGAGAGATTCTGGAATGATGCACAGACCGAAAAGCAGAACAGCACAAGGGATTATGCCTGCATAAGTTTTGATAAGTCATTTATAATAATTGAGGTATTAGAAAAGCAAAAAGGAAATGAGAAGTGTGTTTTTCTTTTTTCTCTATTACTTGACAACTTTAACTTGAATGTGTTGCATAAATTTTACCTACTAAAGCTAAAGCCTGCCATGTTAACAATGTGCCTATGATGAAGGATACGGAAACTCCCGTACAAATCATAAACTGCAAGGATGAAAGAAGGGCATAAGCTTGAACTTTGTCAAACACACACGCGCAAACACACAAAAGACGATATGTGCTTGCTCTTAGTTGGTGTGGTTTTTAAGTTGTGGAGTTAGTTAGTTGGTTGTTTAGAGCAGAGCACTCGGTTGTGGGTGTCTCTCCGGAATTAGGGTCAGTTGACTGTCGGTTTGTATCTTCGTACACATTGTGCTATAATATCCTCTATCTTTTCGGAAAAAAAAAAAAAATATTGGAGATATTTGTTAAGTAGATACAAAACATTCACAGCCTTTTTTACTTACTGTTAACTGGATTTTTTTTTTTACTTAGATTAAAAGCTCGAAGAGGGTTGTAATAATCTCAAACTTCCTTATGCTCTTTTATCCCAAGAAAGGCAAAGAGTGAACCTGCAATAGCATTTACCTAATTAATGGTTGTCAAATAGCTCCTCGTAAATCCTTGGGAGCACGTTCAACTATGAATGCCGGAACCTAAACAATAATAATAAAAATAATAAGAAAAAAATGGAAAACGAAAAAACAAGGCAATATCAACATCTAGTTTCCAAATATATAGCCTAGATTAACATATTTATCAGCAGGTACAACAATTCTTTTACCACATAAAAAAATACTCCCATCCTATATCCGCTTGCCAAACTCCCAATATCTAAAGGCATGGGCCCATGCATAAATTATATAAGACTTATAACTTGATAAATCAAGAACTAATTTATGCATCTAATGAAGAGGAACCTTAAATGTTTTATGTTTTCCTTATTATTTATATACCTGGGTAAAATAAATGGATAGTCACCCTGCTGTGCAGAATAAACTCGATACTATCATGGGCAGATTCCATTTCCAACATTCAAATGATCAATATTATAAACTGGTTGTGACATATATTTCCTGGGTTCCTATAAATTCACTCACCCTTTTGCGACCGACGAAATCAGCAATTTTGCTGCTAGTGATTGCATCAATCATCGCCCAAAAAGTCAAATATGGAGCCAAACAATGAGTACTGCAAAAGGACACACTGTTTTAACTCTCAAAACAAGTGATTCATTGTAACAGAAGCTCAAAATTAGTTGAGAAACACAAGTTGGCTAATAGACTTTTTATTAAGAATAAAACTAATCAATATCAACAATGGTTTAGCTAGCCTAATACAGTACACTTATCTTAGAAGTCAACTTTGAGAAGTTACAGAGGTATTGATCTCATATTGACACATTTGGATAAGTAAGTTGTCAGACACTAATAGATTTTATAGATAGTAGTATAGTGATAAATTAGGACACCAATATATGAATTGTTTATAACATTATGTGAAATATTAGACCTGCTTGGAATTCTGAGGGTGGCACTTGTCTGTCCATAAACAATTCTCGGTTACATTTTGAGAAGTATGTTAGTGGAGTCACAATATTACAAATGGAAATTTCAAACATTAGTTGCTAGGCAAAACACTTCAAAAATAATCTACAGGCGAAATGTTACGTTGGACATGAATTTTGAATATATTCTAGTAAAGAACTCTAGCAAAAATAACAAACTGAATATTCTCAATCTGAGCAATTGTAAATGCGTGCAATTAAGGAGACTCATTCACATTTAGCAGCTACAAATTCTTACCTTTCCTCAAGAAGCATATTTTGGAGCTCACCCTTCAAGCTCTCATGATCCTGAGAATGTAGATTGTCTAGTTTTTATTTAAAATGTGGATTTGTAGCACAACAATATCAAAGTTGGGGAATTTAAGTTAATTTAATAATTAAGCTAGAATTGCGAAAATATGTAAATTTTGAATTTGTAATAGAAAGCCTAAGTGTCTTTCATAATTATTACACACCCAAAGCTAACATATTAAATAAAATATGTGTAAAACCGCACCAGACTCGAGTAGTGATAGTATAAGTGAAGAGGTTATCTACCATACCAATTGTAAAGACGCTATATCATCAGGTTATTCCAGTTTTCCATTGATAACATTCAAACAATGAAGTTACATGAGTTATGCATAATCATAAACATGAAAAATAAACTTTAGAATATTTTAAGAGTATGAACATCAAATACACATACCTCTGTCCCTTCTCCCGATGCTTGAAGTCAACTAATGCATGTCCTCTCCACGATGGATCCCAATTCTTCTCATTCCCAGAAATACCTGGATCGAGATTTATAACAACACGAGTTCCTTCAAAATGAACCACATAGCATAAATGAACGATTCAGTAGTGTTACACCCAATATTCAACATTAAGATGAGACTCTATATAGAAAATTTTAGTATATTTTCGAGATAATTCTATCTATCTGATATCCTTTAAAAAAAACTATTTTATTAATTCAACTTTAAAAAAAAACTATTTTATTAATAATCTTCAACTCATTGTAAAAGTCTATAAAAAAATCTCTTAACAGGATAACCGAGACTCCATATTGCTCTTTGACTGCACATTTACTTCTAAACCTCCATCATAGTAAATAGGTTTTTTGGCTCTCTTAAATCCAGATTCATTTTCGTTTAGCGATGATCTTCTAATCCAATTGCATATGAGAAGACTGATTAATTAAAAAACAAATCAATAAAATCATAAAACAAAACTTATTGGCAGGCAAGCAAATTGTTGACACTTCCGCAATATCAAATATAAATTAGTTTATGGGAAATTTGCACATACTCAGTTTTCTTGAGGTGTGAATTGCGATCCTCCAGGTTAAAAATTTAGGGCCTTCTGTGTCGGCAAGTCCGCATATGCACGTGCTGCAAAGTAGACGTCGCTGCTCTCTATTGTCGGGCCGTGGGCAAGAGAACTTCACCGTCCATCCGATGCAGCACCGTGGGCATTGTAGTCCGTCACTGCAAAGTAGATGTCGGTGCTCTCTATTGTCGGGCTGGCACAGTGCCTCCATCAGTCGCATTACCATCTTCTCCCGATTACCCAATGAAAGGTTCTCTATACAGACAAAATAAGGGGGTGATTGGATGTAAGATGTTCTGGAGAGGATGCAAATCGAGAAAATTATGGAACACAAATTCAAAATTAAAATGCCGAAAGGAAGGACCTAGCTTGGATATCTAGTACATGATGGCGGAAGGTCGAGGACTTGACTGATTGTCGATGAAGCTCCTTCGCCTTCTTGAAGCAACACAAAATACTTTCTCACATGTTCCACTTCACGCTCGGATTGACCCAAATATCGCCGGCCACGACTCCTTCTCACACGCCGGCTGATCTTTCATAGAGCTATCTTTGACTGTCGGCTTCAGTTCGAAGATGGAATCCACGAACAGAGATCTTCGGTGAAGAGAACCGGGCCTCATATCTTCATTTGCTCTGAGAGGGAGAGAAAATTGTGAGCTGCAATTTTGGAGGGGAAGAAGTAAGAGAAACGCAGCAGGTGAGATTGAAGACGAATGAAACGTCGATGCCGCTTAAGAATTGAATGAGAGAGTACGCTGAAGGTTGCGTAAAGAAGGCGAGTAGCAGATTTTCGGGGCACCAAATCGTTCAAGACAGCCAGATTTTGAGGGGAGAAAGGCAATGTCCAATCGACACCGTACTGGCTAAAATAGTCTCAACCCCAATACACGTCTATGAAAAATGCAAAAAAATAAAAATAAAAAGTAATACCATATTTTTTCTTAACCATGAAGATATCTAAAACTTCAATAGCATTTTGGTTAATAAAGAAAAAAAAGAAGTGCAAAAAATGTGCAACCAAAATCGGTGGTGAAATTGTAATTAAAGCTGGACACTTGTCAATTTTTTAAGACTCTACAACTGGACATGTGTCAAAATATAAAAGCCACACACTTCTTCATATATGTATAAGAGAGATATATATATTCAAATACGTTCCCTAGGCTAAATCTCTAATACATCTATGAGTATCCCCTTATTCACCATTTGAGATTGATTGAGACCCAAACCAACCACTTCCTTAGGCTTACAAATTTCGTCTAATTTAAGAAGAGTTTTCTTTGTTGCTAATTTGTTGAACCCCATATGATGTTTCTAACAAAACTAATCTCCATGCAATGACGGAGCCATATTAGGCCCAGGGGGGTCCATGGCCCCCCCTCATTTTTGTAAAAATCAATATATATATATATATATAGAGAGAGAGAGAGATAATACTATAAAATATGTATAGAAATGCAAAAAATCTTTACAACATATTAATAATTAAAATTTATTTTCTATGTTACTTTAATATAAATTAATAATAATATTTATTTATTAAAAAATATACTAACAATTATTATATTTTACATTCCTAGATAAGTTATTGAAAATATTTATAATAATATACTTTTTTAGTATCTTAATTGTATATCGATTTAGTAATATAAAATTGAATATTTAGTTGGATTGTTATGGTTTTTAATGTTGATTTTTTTTACAATCACATATTTTTAACTTTATTTATTAATGTTCATTTGGTAAGCTATCATAAAAAATGTTATGCAATGTGCTGCAAAAGTTCATTTTAAATCTATTTTTCAACCAAAAAACTTATTTTTCCGTAACTGAAGTTAAATTATAAATACATGAACTACTATTTTTTTAAAAAAAAAAAAGTTTGAAGGTGATACGGATTCTAAGTTTTTAAAAACTTGATGGTACACCTATCGATATTTACATTTATAGTAAAATTTTTTATATGAAATAAACATTTCGATTTAACCTACAAGCTCGTTATTTAACATTTAAAATCGGACCCCCCTGAATAAAATTCCTAGATCCGTCACTGTCTCCATGTACCCCTTTCAGAAGCAAAGCCGTTTGCATTTGGAAAATGGGAAGTGTAAAGTACCGACTTAGCGAGTGTCCAAATGGAAAGTGTTTGAAGGACCGACTTAGCGAGAGTGATGCGCTATCAATAGAGATATTTTTTGCTTTCCACACTGAAAGTCTCCCTTTAACTCTGTCTATTAAGAGCATGTTTGATTGGGAAGACTAGACAAGATTATGGGCTTAGTCTGGGCCCAATCTTACATTTGTTTCCCATGACTGCGGCCCGCATGACTAGATGAGGCCCGCGACCCAAATGGGAATTATCTGGAGTATTGCCGATTATTTGATCTCGGGTTGGAGGTGAGATTATTTGCATCTGTACAGTACTTATTTGATCAAATTACCAAATTATCCTCATAAAGTGAAAAACATTACCAAATCATCCCTATTAACTCATTAAAATTTACCACTGAAAAAGCAATTGAAGTATGCTTAAACGCACAAATTCTCCATACTTTCTTTTCGTTCTACCTGTTGTGCGTCTCCAAATTGAATCTCAAAGATCAAAATGTTGATAAAGAATTCTTCGAAGTTACGGGTTTCTTGTTTAAAGTCTCCAAATCCAGCATCCACCCGAAGCCTCCACTGGCCAGCGCAGCCTCCTTTCCCGTCGACAACGAGAAATCACGAACCCTAGTTGGAGCTTGAATGAGCTTGGTGGGGGATGCGGTGGCCGAGAAGTTGGATGAGCTGGTGGGCGTGGTGGTGGACGTGAATAGGCTGAGCAAGAGCGTCTTGGCCGGCGTCGCGGGCGCCACCACCGTGTACCAGGTGGCGTTGTTCTTCGAGGCGGTGTCGGTGTTCTTGGTATGGTTTCGTGATGCGAAATTGGTGATCGTTTGAGGTGGCGAGAAGCATGCCAATTGATGAATTATGAAAAAATTGAGGTTTCTTGATTTGGGGATTAGGGCAAATTTTGTTTCATGATGTGGGAATTTTTTCTGATTGAGCCAAGTTGAAGTGGATTACAGATTAAAGATGGAGGCTTATGAAGTTAGTTTTCATTCACAGTCCTTGCGGAGTTCTTGAGGTTGTGAAATGGGGAGTAGGGATTAAGTAGTTGAGTGTTAATGGGAACATTGAAATCTAATATAGCAGATGTACACATTCTTTTCTGAATTTGTTGATTTTTTTGTTTTCATATTTTTGTTAAATTAGGGTCTTGCTTGCTGTATAAAAATGTATAATCTCCCTAAGGTCATTCAAGCTCCAGTTGGGGTCTGTTTTGTGTTAATTGAAGCTCTCTTCTTAAACAAAGTACCGAAAAATAAGAAAAACTCACTGTTCGAAAACATATTTCAAAATGTCGTCAATTACGAGCAAATCACACTGTCTGTTGTCAATATTCTCAAGAATTTTCACATCCTTTCACTCCTCAAAAAAATCAAACCTTATTGTAGATATACAGTAAAATCATATTTGATAAAAGTTCTTCACTACCTACCACAATTATTGGCCAAATGAATGTAAGGGTAAAAATGTAAATTTATAATTGTATCACATGTCTAGTCATACCTAACAAATGCAGAATTAAATTTATCTCTAAATCTATCTCATTATTAGTCTTGACAAACAAACATAGAATCATTCTAATCTAAACAGTACAATCTTGTCTCTTCAAATTAAATTAATCTAATCCTATCCAAGAAAACAAACGTGCCCTAAGAATTGAAACGATTCTCTCATGTCACTCTATTTTGGAAGATAGAAGAGCCAAGGTACTTCCCGAGACTATTTGACATCATAAACATGAACTCAAAAGCAATGGAATGTTTATCTGATAGGAAGACGTTCTTAGAGAATGAAATTCTGGTTTTCCCTTTGTTTATTTTTTGGCTGGAGTTGCTATGAAATTTATTTAGAACTGAATAAATGGTATGCACTTAGTTGTTCTTCGCCTTGGTAATTTATTATCAATTTTGCTATAAACTTGGGATACTCTTGCTTGTAATTGGATGGGTAAGGTCAATAATTTTTCACATCTATACTTATATTAAAAAAGGTATACCATTTACCAGATTTAGTATAAAAAAAATCAACAACATTTATTGCATTACTATTTCCGTATTATACAATCTATACTTATATAAAAGGAGATTCTATTTACTACATTTACTATCCAGAAAAGTCAACTGCATTAAATGCCATTACTATTTTGGTATTATGATAGTTTATTTATTTAATTGATTTATTTATTTGTTTTATTTTAAAAAGGTAAGTATAATAAAAAGATTTTAATAATTAAAAATCAAATATCAAATAAAAATGTACACTTTGACTTATTTGATTATATTTGGTATTTGATTATACCAAATATATTCCTATTTAGTATATACATTGAATACTTACTAAAGTATTTATTTGTTTTATTTGTCAAAGTTAAGTATAGATTTGTTTATATTATCAAATCATAAAACAAATAAATATATCCTGTGTTTCGCACGGGTATTTGAACATTGTACAATTTTCTTGCGTATTACTTATAAACTTTTATTGAATATTGCATCTTATAATCTAATATTCTCCAAATAAATATATCTCGTGCTTCGCACGGGTCACGCCGTACATTTTTTTTATTCATGTATATAATTATAAATCTGGATAAATAGCCTTAAAATTGTGCACCGTACATCGCACGGGCTCTGTACTAGTTTTAGATTAACTAAGATTTCTTTTAAGGTACTTTTCAAACACTTCGCTAATATGAAATAGACTAAGTAAAAAATTTATTATCAATTTTGGTCGCTTATAATTCGCCTATTTAGGATATTAAAATAAAATTAAAATCTAGAAGTCCAAGACAGGAATTTTTCCAAAAATATAATTTCACATATTTTTTTTTTCCCCTAAAACCTGCGAGACAGCGCGTCCTTCTTCAATTTCTTTCTGGACACGATATTTCGTTACAAAGGAAGCGCCTTTACGCAAAACATCACAAAAATCCCCAAATTTCCCTGTAGAGCTGTGACCCTCTCGCCGTTATCCTTCTTCGTCGTCATCATTGTCGTAATATCGTCTCTCGCTCCCTCTGCCTAGGTTAACTTCGTCTTCCTCGCGTTCTCTTTGTTGTTTTTTTTTTGCGATTTTTTTCTGCTAAATTTGTTTGTCAATGAAGGATTCAACAGTTATTGAACGACAAATTATGAATGGTTGAATGATTTGTGATCCATATGGTTGGATCTTTATTAGCGGTTCGAAAATGCTCGTCGGCAACTCAATACGCCCCCTGCGCACGTTAGTTTCTGACCTTCCTGCCGAAATCCAGCTCTCACCATGTCAAGGTTCACAATTGCTCTACGCATAAAGCTTTTTACTCGCTTACCTTTTCATTGAACTTCTGCCCATTCCTTTATCATCTTTTATTGATCAATTGGTCTACGTGAATACCTATTTCTTTCATTGTTGTTGTTATCAAGTACGAGTAGTTACTGTTCACTGAGATTTTTCTGTTAGGGCAGCTTATTAGGAGGTTCTAATCTATATTGAGTGTCAATCTTCAGTTACTGAGAGCTTTCTTTTTTTTTTTTCTTATGTAATCTTGAAAGGTGCTTATTGTACATATCCTTGAGAGGTTGCCGGTTTTTGACAATCGGAGCTATCAAGAGATTAGCTCCAACTTGCCAAGCCAGTCCTGCTGGTACCCTTTCTCAAATATCTAAATATGGAGCCAGTATACATTCTCCCCAAAACAGGCCTTTCTCGAATTACGCTTTCCCAAACAGGGGCCTTGCTTGGAATGCTATTTGTTCCGGGAAAGATTTCTACAATATTCACCTCAGAACTTATTCAGCAAGGTTTAACACCATGGCCCATCTTGCCAAAATTGCTTGGAAGAGGCTGTTACAAGCATCTTTACATGATGGTAGTACAGCTCGTCTAGGTATAAGCAGGATTGCTCGGGCAGTTAGTTTGGGTTTTTCCCATTCTTCCATAACTGTTCCCGGTATATTTTCTCTCATGTTCGGTACACGTTTAGCCTATGCCCAATCTTCTTCAAGTTCACCTGTTGTGATGCAGCCGAGGAATGCATTGTATGTGGGTGCTCAAGACAGCCATCTTTTTTTCACCCGATTGGTATTCTCTATATTCCAAGGCATTTTCTTGCTGATCAGGGCTTTTCAACTGGCTTTGCTCTTCACCCCAAGCATCATCATGGCCCCGTTTGCTGACAATTTCGGGCCTCATTTCAGGAAACTGTGGCTCCAAGTCGTCCACCAGACCCTTGAGCGGGCTGGGCCGGCATTCATAAAGTGGGGCCAGTGGGCCGCCACGCGGCCCGACCTTTTTCCCGGAGATCTCTGCACCGAGTTATCCAAGCTCCACATGAAAGCCCCCGAACACAGTTTCTTCTACACGAAAAAGACGATCGAGAAGGCCTTCGGCAGGAAGATCACCGAGATTTTTGACAACTTTGAGGAAAAGCCCGTAGCTTCCGGAAGCATAGCCCAAGTGCACCGGGCCTCATTACGGGCCCAGTACCGTGGCCGTGAAAGGAAACCGATGCTTGTTGCTGTCAAGGTTAGGCATCCGGGGGTTGGGGAGTCCATAAAGAGGGATTTTGAGATAATTAATTTAGTTGCAAAGATCTCAAGCTTTGTCCCTGCTCTGAATTGGCTGAGGCTGGATGAGAGCGTGAAGCAGTTTGCGGTTTTCATGATGTCCCAAGTGGATCTTGCTCGTGAGGCCGCACACTTGAGCCGTTTCATATACAATTTCCGGAGTTGGAGAGACGTGTCTTTCCCGAAGCCCGTTTATCCTTTGGTGCATCCGGCTGTTCTGGTAGAGACTTTTGAGCATGGTGAGAGTGTTGCTAGGTATGTGGACGACATTGAGGGAAATGAACGAATTAAAAGATCCCTTGCACACATTGGGACCCACGCGCTACTGAAGATGCTCCTGGTAACTCCTATGCACTCCTTTTTTTTTTTTTTNATAGAAACTTTCCACTTGTTACAATTTTGTGATTTTTGCATGTACGGGATTAGTTACGTCATACTTGCTTTAAATGATGGGCGATGTTATAATTCCTTACAGCTGGTATTTGCGTTTTGAAATAGCTAAATGAGATTTGGCAAAATGGCTTCAGTTTTTTGATCCATAGTGTGATGTTTAGCACCACAAGACAAAGTTGTTAATCCTTCAGTGGATCAATGCAGTGTTAAAGAGTTTTTGTCTTGTGTATTGCTAGCCAGTAAGATAAACTATTTGGTTTGATTTCTATGTTCTCTCTCTCCTTTCTTCAAAATATTACGCGATACATCCTCTGTCCCAAAACTATACTTCACTGTGGTAGTTAGTAGAGTCGAAGCATTATGAATTCCATTTATACTGTACTGTGGTAGGCAATTTTCTTGTGGTTTACAAGTATGAGGTAATTAGTATGTTTCTGATTTTTATTTTTTTTTCTATGCTTCAACAGGTGGACAACTTTGTTCATGCAGACATGCACCCAGGGAATATCCTTGTCCGTGTGGCTCAGAGCAAGTCCTCTCGTAAAAAGCTCTTCAAAACCAAGCCTCACGTCATCTTCATTGACGTGGGCATGACGGCTGAGCTCTCGAAAAACGATCGCATTAATCTGCTCGAGTTTTTCAAAGCTGTTGCCCGTAGAGATGGCCAAACTGCAGCCGAGTGCACACTCAGGTTATCGAGGAAACAGAACTGCCCAGAGCCAGAGGCCTTCATTCAGGTAGTACACAGCAGCTGCTGCCCGTTTTTACATTCATCATTCGTGCTGCATGGTCTTAATAACAAAACCTTGGATGGTTTTTTTTTTTTTATTTTCTTTTTATTTGTCTGCTTGTAGGAAGTGAAAAAGTCGTTTGATTTTTGGGGCACGCCGGAAGGGGATGTGGTGCATCCTGCCGATTGCATGCATCAACTGCTTGAGAAAGTTCGGAGGCATAAAGTGAACATAGATGGCAATGTTTGCACAGTGATGGTTACTGTTTTAGTCCTTGAGGTCAGTGGTCGATATAGAATCTGAAAATTGGATACACTCTAAGGTGTAGGAAGAATAAATATATAAAAAATGAAATGAATAATTTCATGCTTCAAAAAACACCAAAATGATACTATTAAGTGAAATTTAAAACCATAATGATCAAAATATCATAATTAATCAACTCCTAAATGGTTTTGTTTGCAGGGTACATGAATGCTGCAAAACTAAAAAATTTTATTGTTCTGTGAAGCATTTATTAAAATGTCCTTTTAATCCTTCATTTGGTGCAGAATATTTTTTATTATTTTGGATTTTTTGTCTTCAGGGCTGGCAGCGGAAGCTCGATCCAGATTATGACGTGATGCATACACTACAAACACTGCTATTGAAAGCCGACTGGGCAAAATCACTTTCGTATACAATCGAAGGACTTATGGCTCCATGAGTTAGCTGAATGTTTTTTCTTCTTTTCCTAGAACTACTCTTACTGTATAGAGAATTTTGATGGAGTAAAAGCACTTGGGAATTGTAGGTAACTTCGAAATTTTATGTCTTGTTGTTCTGCGAACAATTTATCAACCAAGTGCGTCCATTCACAATTTTGTAAGGATGGTTTATTTCTTGTATTATTTTTTAGACTGATTTTCATACCACTTTCTAGTTTTATCACATTCTTCCTTCTCTCCATATTCAGCATTATGAAGAATACACTCCCAGTCAGGCACAAGCTAGCTTTTCGAAAGGTTTAATTTCAAACCATTGTTTATATGATTTTCACACACACAACTAACTTATCTAGCGTACTCGAATCTGCATAAACAATATTTCTTCACATTATGACACAAAGCTCATTAATTACCCAAAATATATAAAAAAATACAATTAATTAGCTGTACATAATCTATAGTATACTAATGAGTAATGACAAACATCAAAGTACAATTATCTTCAACAAAGAATATACACAAATAAATAAATAAAATAAATAAGATAATCTAAACATTAATATGTACAAAATTAATTAACACAATCCTCATCTTCTCCGTAAGAACGTCTTTCCCTCTGCATCCTCATTCACGATATGTAAAACCTCGTTTGGTGGAACGTGCCTCCAAACTTGTGGCCTCTTCAGCTTGTGCCCCATCTGCGCGAATTTATCCGCGGCCCTATTCCCCTCCCTAAAAGTGTGAGTGAACAAGCAGTTCTTGATCTCCGGCACCATCAAGTTCACGCGCGCCACATGTGCGCGCACTTGCGCGCACCTGATAACTCCCTTCTTTCTCGTGATAATGTCAACAATGCCCTTGGAGTCGCCCTCGAGCCACACGTCACTCCACCCGTTTTCTAGCACGATCTCGAGGCCCCTCACGAGGGCCGCCAACTCAGCCAACGTGCTGTTGCTTTGACCGATCGACTCGGCATACCCTAGCAAGAAACACGCGTTGTGGTCACGGAAAATGCCACCAATGCTCGATTCTCCCGTCTTGCACTTGCACGAGCCGTCGTAGTTCAACTTGGTCCAGCCGTGCTCGGGTCTGGCCCACGTCACGTTGACCGCTTCCTTGTGCCACTGCCTGAAGAAGATTCGGAGTGGTTTGTGGATCGATAATCGTTTATCGAACAACCTTGAAACTATCGTCATTGTTTCGAATTTACACGCTAAATTGAAGTCGGATTATCGGTCATTGAACGGAGAAATAAACTACGTCGATTGTACGGGATTCGGGACATTTTGGTCATGGGAATTTAGGTTTTGTATGAGAATATTGTAGATGATTTTGCGTGGGGAGAAGCTAATGGAATATTTTGCAAACTTAACTATATTTATATTCTTTTCTTGCAAGAAGTGATTGTGTGTGTGGATTTGGTTCGCGGCATTTCTGGGCCAATGTTTGAATAACGGTAAGTTAACCGTCATAATCTTTGGAAATTGAGCCGTGAATATTGGAGAATAATCGCCTGGATTATCTGAGGCCAAGAATGCAATGGTTCTACTAAGTTTTTTTGTTTAAANCTAAGTTTTTTTGTAAAAAAAAAAAATAATAATAATAATAAAAAAAAAAAGGGTCTTTCGCGGCAAATTGTATCATGCATATGACCAAATGAATCATTTGCGTCTCAAATAATAGTAGCAAATAAAAATAAGAGAAATGGATAACCATTTTAGCAACTTCTTTTTTCAACAAGTGTTTTAGCAACTTATATTTGCTTGTTCGTTTTCGTGCATCGTGCTTGCATTGTTTCATTTTATATTTTTCATCCTATGCCAATTGGTATGTAAAATGATAATATGAGAATTATTTATAAAAAATGACAAGTTATTATGTGTTTATTATAAATTTAATAGTATATTTTATATGTTTAGTTTACTGCTCAACTAGTTAGATTTAGGCGCATACTTTTTTTTTTTAATCGTTAAATAAATTTGTATTGATCAAAATTGAAAGTCATACAACCGAGGCGGCTTTCAAGAGCGTAGTGAGTAACCACATGTCGGTTCCTCACTCGCAAGAACAAAAATAACGAGGACAATGTTCTCCTCCAATCAAGATCTTCCAAGTGCTCAAGCACTTGGCATCAACCATCCTAAAAAATTATTAAGATTTTATACTTCAACACCTAGACTTCTTCTCTCAAATTTGGCAAGAACACTCGGAAAAAGAGCAAAAATAGATCGGTAGACGTGGGTCTTTACCTTTCTAATCACAAGGCTTGGAGGTTGGGTTTCGCCCTCAAAAATCAATCTGTTTCGCGCATTCCAAATGAAGTAGACGGTGGCCGCAACGCCGCTTTCTTCAATTTGGCTCTCCAAGTTGTACCTTTCCCTTCTATTTTGGTCCATTTGAGGGCGCCTTTAAGAGTTGTTGGCATGTGACGGAGGCTAACCCAAACTCGAATTGCACTCCATATCTCCGAGCTAAAGGGGCACTCGAAGAAGAGGTGGCTCGAGGATTCATTCGCGGTACCACAAAGGGGGCATGTCGGGTCTTCATTTAGGAACTCCAGGCGATCTTTTGTTTGGAGCCTATTCATCACACCAAGCCATAAAATGAAGGAATGCTTGGGGGTATTGCAACTCCCCCAAACAACCCCGACCTATGGCTTCTCAATACCCTTTGGTCGGAGAAAATCGTAACACTTGCTAGTACCGTCTTGCTTGTCGCGTAAACTCCACGCACGGAGGAGGGCTTCCGCACCGCGCTCGCTACCCGCCTTTTCAATCAAGCTTTGCCGGATTTCAAAGAGGGATTTAAAGAGAGGGGAATCATTCTTGGAAACTTGCCAATCCCAAATAGTTTTATCCTTCAAATAGATGTTGTGGATCCATTTGAACCATAGTGTATCCTTCTTAGCTTGCATATTCCAAAGAGTCCTCATGAGAAGGGCTCGGTTCCAAGCATCCAAGTTANCTTCAATTTGGCTCTCCAAGTTGTACCTTTCCCTTCTATTTTGGTCCATTTGAGGGCGCCTTTAAGAGTTGTTGGCATGTGACGGAGGCTAACCCAAACTCGAATTGCACTCCATATCTCCGAGCTAAAGGGGCACTCGAAGAAGAGGTGGCTCGAGGATTCATTCGCGGTACCACAAAGGGGGCATGTCGGGTCTTCATTTAGGAACTCCAGGCGATCTTTTGTTTGGAGCCTATTCATCACACCAAGCCATAAAATGAAGGAATGCTTGGGGGTATTGCAACTCCCCCAAACAACCCCGACCCATGGCTTCTCAATACCCTTTGGTCGGAGAAAATCGTAACACTTGCTAGTACCGTCTTGCTTGTCGCGTAAACTCCACGCACGGAGGAGGGCTTCCGCATCGCGCTCGCTACCCGCCTTTTCAATCAAGCTTTGCCGGATTTCAAAGAGGGATTTAAAGAGAGGGGAATCATTCTTGGAAACTTGCCAATCCCAAATAGTTTTTTCCTTCAAATAGATGTTGTGGATCCATTTGAACCATAGTGTATCCTTCTTAGCTTGCATATTCCAAAGAGTCCTCATGAGAAGGGCTCGGTTCCAAGCATCCAAGTTACGAAGCCCCAATCCTCCCTCCGCTCGAGGTAAACACAAAGTATCCCATGCAACGGGGGCTTTTTTGGAGCCCCATAAGTACCTTCTACATAGTTGAATGATTTTTGTTCGGACAATGCCCGGCAAGTGGAAGATGCCCATCCAAAAGCAAGCAATGCCTTGAATGACGGATCGAATTAGTTTCAATCTACCGGCATAGGAGAGAGAGTGTCTCTTCCACCCACTAAGTTGGCTTTCAATTTGGTTGATCATATCATCAAATAGCCTCCCGGTAATCCTATCCGCGGTGAGGGGGACTCCAAGATAACGGAACGGTATAGGCCCGGTTAGCATGCTAGTATCATCAAGGATGGTCTCAGGATCATGTTCTTTCACGCCGGCCAAGTAGATGTTGGACTTAAGCACATTCATTTCAAGCCCCGATTTCTCCCCGAAGTCTCTTAAGCATTCCATGAGCACTTTGATTGATCCCGAATCACCCCGAGAGAGGAGCATGAGGTCATCGGCGAAGACTAAGTGAGAAATTTTTAGCTTCTCACACATTGGATGGAATTTGAAGTTCGGGTCCTCCGCCGTGTTGCAATTACTGAGCCTAGAGAGGTATTCCATGCAAAGAACGAAAAGGAAAGAAGAGAGGGGATCACCTTGCCTTAGTCCGCGAGCACCTTTGAAGTGGCCTTTGAGGCAACCGTTGATAGATAGGGAATACGTAGAGGTGGTGACGCACTCCATGATCCACATGATGAAAGTCGGTGGAAAGTCTAAGCCCTCAAGCATTTGCCTCAAGAAGGCCCATGAGACGGAGTCAAATGCTTTGCGGAGGTCAATCTTGATTAAGCATCTCGGAGACACACTTTGCCTCAAATATTTCCGGAGCAATTGTTGCATGAGGTGAATATTGTCCGTCATATTCCTCCCCTTCACAAACGCGGCTTGGGCTTCATCAATAATAAAGTCAAGAACTTCACTAATTCTTCTTGCAAGGATTTTTTAGCAAATCTTGTAAACCGTATTGCAACACGCGATTGGCCGTTAGTCCGTGACTCGAGATGAATGGGAGGACTTCGGGACAAGCATGATACCGGTGTGGTTCCATTGCTTTAGGATTGATCCGGAGCGAAAGATTTCTTGAATTGCCGCCACAACATCCCCACCTACAATATCCCAACTTTTTAGAAAAAAGGTAGAAGTGTAGCCGTCCGGCCCCAGGGACTTGCCCCCCTCGATGCTTCTAAGGGTGAGCTTGATCTCCTCTTCGGTAACCGGGGCGATTAGGGTGCAACAATGTTCGGGACTAAGAGTTGGCCCCGATCTAAGGATTTGAGGGTCAATATCCTCCGTTTCTACCTCGGTTCCCAAGAGAGCTTCATAGTAACGAATGAATTCCTTGGTCACATCCTCCATGGACTCGGTTGTGGTGCCATCCTCACGCATGATCGATGCAATGTAGTTTCGTTTTGCTCTCTTCTTGACCAAGCTATGGTAGAACTTGGTACATTTGTCTCCTTTAATTTGGAAGTCGCATTTCGCCTTTTGTTGGAAAAAAGATTTCTTCGCTTTGGCCAAGTTGAGAGCTCTGAGTCTAAGAGACCCCAACTTAGACTTGATGTCAAGATCGTCTGGTTGATCATGTAGCAATTGTTGTGCTTCTTTGAGAGCGGCTTTTGTTTCATTGGCTCGAGTAGAGACTTTAATATTTTATTGCTTTAATTAGTGATTTAGTTCCTTAGGACTTTATATATTTCCAAACATTAGGAGTTCTTCTTAGATTAGGAATAGACTAGTTTGGCACCTATAAATAGGGCCCAATGTCATTCGAAATAATCATTCAGAAATTAATAGAAAAACCGAACTTTTGTTCAAACACTTTGCCTTAGATATATTTTCGATTTCTTTTGCAATTTTATCGTTTCAAGGGGTGCGGTTGTGCAAACCTCGAGACACCTATCGGCGATTCAAGGCACTGGTTTGTGGCTTATCGGCAATCGGGACACGCGATCTTCATCACGCGTGAGTGGCATATGTTTTGTCCGTGCTCGTCGGTTCCCTGCTTGTGCAGCAACGACTTGTCACCCGAACTTAGGTCGGTTGTCCCAAACGGTTGTTCCTAACGATTGTCCCGAACGGTTGTTGGTTTTGATGCGGGTTAAGTTGTGCCGAATACCCAAGGGTACGGCAAATGTCGGTTAATAGGTTGCGGTATCCGCCTAGTGCCAACCCCTTCGGGGGTGCAGCACGAGGTGGACGACGAAGCACATGTTGTGCGCCAACATTGTTGCAATAGCATGCAGTGTTGGCCCATGGCACGTTGCTCGTTCTCTCAGGTACGGAAAGCTCTTTGGGCTAGGTTGTTCGACCCTCGGTTGTCCCAAAGTAAAGCGTTTTACGCTCGTCCCTCGTCCTGAATGACAGCCGCGCCCGTCTTGTGCGGGTCACTGACCTTGCTCATGCGGTGCCGGCGTTGGTGAGGAATGCTACTGGTTGATCCTGCCAGTAGTCATATGTTTGTCTCAAAGATTAAGCCATGCTTGTTTAAGTATGAACTAATTCAGACGGTGAAACTGCGAATGGCTCATTAAATCAGTTATAGTTTGTTTGATGGTACCTACTACTCGGATAACCGTAGTAATTCTAGAGCTAATATGTGCAACAAATCCCGACCTCTGGAAGGGATGCATTTATTAGATAAAAGGTCAACACGGGCTCGTCCCGTTGCTGCGATGATTCATGATAACTCGACGGATCGCATGGCCTTCGTGCCGGCGACGCATCATTCAAATTTCTGCCCTATCAACTTTCGATTGTAGGATAGAGGCCTACAATGGTGGTGACGGGTGACGGAGAATTAGGGTTCGATTCCGGAGAGGGAGCCTGAGAAACGGCTACCACATCCAAGGAAGGCAGCAGGCGCGCAAATTACCCAATCCTGACACGGGGAGGTAGTGACAATAAATAACAATACCGGGCTCTTTGAGTCTGGTAATTTGAATGAGTACAATCTAAATCCCTTAACGAGGATCCATTGGAGGGCAAGTCTGGTGCCAGCTGTAATAGCCCAGTTCTGTATTAATAAAAATGATAGTTTTTAGTTCCCAGTTGAACTATTTCTTTTTATTAATACTGCTCGTCTTGAGTTTCGAGCCCAGTTATCAGTTATTCAATCCCAGTTATTAATTCTGGTCCATTTATTTTAGTAATGGATTTTATTCAGTCGGAATTAGTTATTTCAGTTGACGAATAATCGAAACCGAGTTTGTTTCGATAAATCGTCCAAGTTTAGCCGTGTCCGGAACCGAGTTGTTCGGTCACGAGTATCGCGCCTAGTTGCGCCTAGCCAATTCTCGAGCCCTAGTAGTCTCGAGTCTTGTTCGAGCCCTAGCCGTGCTCACAGCCTTACTTAGCAAGAGGCAATTTTAGCTATGGCCTTCACATTCCAACACTCCCCGGGCAAGAACGGGAGGTTGATCCAAGCGGGAACCACTTTGATGTCATCTTCCCCAAATTGGAACCAATTTGGGAGGTTTTTTAGGATGAGCCCCCTCCCATAGATGGAGTACGGTCCACCTTGAAGCACTTTGACTCTATCCTCCTCGGTCTTAAATTTGAACACAATCCACCCGTTGACATTTGGGACCATGTCAAAGTCCACATTCCATTTCTTACAAAGCTTTAAAAGAGCCTCTTTTCCCGGATGCCTTTGGGTAAAATATCCAACAAGGCAAAAGCCCCATGTTTCGATGAGCTCGGAAATGTCATCTTCTTCAAGGAAAGCTCCTCCCTCCTTTGGTGGGACATAATCCAATTTGAGCCCAAGGGAGGGCTTGCGGTTGTCGGCAAAGAGGGCCGAGAAAGGCCTCTTTTGTGTAGTGGCATCCTTTTGTGACTTTACCAAGTTTTCCTTAACGTTTTCCTCTTGGGGCATTTCATCAAACACCTTGTGGGTGTTATTTTCGCCTTGACTTTTTGCTAGCTTTTGATTGCCCTCTTCACCCTCCAACATCTCAACATCAAAACCCATGTAAACAAGGTCATCAACAATATTATTATTATTGCTAAGCTCACGATTGGCCACGGCTAGCCCAAGCACCTTAGAGCTCTCGGCGGCGGGCTTAGTGAAATTATCTTCCACAGGGTTGTCTTCTACCAGCTCTTCTTTGAGTTTGTTGATTCCTTGGCCTACGAATGATTCGCCGGAGTCACTATCTTCTCCGGCAGAGGGGCGGTCATCAGAAATTTCCAGAACTAGCTTTCGGTACTTAGCTTTTCTTTTACCTTTGGCCATATCAAGAAGGATAAGATAAAAAATGGGAACAGAAACCAGATCGAGAGGGAAACAGGTCCTAGGCGCATACTTATTCCAATTAAATATTCCGTAAGAGATAATTGGTGTAGTAGAGTTTATTGCAAGTTTTAGAAAACGAGGAGATGTGATATGTGCACTAATTAAACTAGTTAATCCAAGGCATAAATTGACCTGACTTTACTCATTTTCGTTTCATTATTTATTTCCCTTGAATTATTCGTTTTTAACTTTAACTATTATTCTATTTTATTCTCTCTCACTAGTAACGAATTAAATCAAAACTCTCTATTACTTTATTTTAATTAACACAAAATAATCACAATTTGTACCACACTTCTTCTCATGATATCTAGATAATTTCATAAATTCAAATTTGCAGAGTCGCCAAGCGCAATCAATGAACGTCTTTCCCTCCGCATCCCCGTTCACGATACGTAAAACCTCGTTCGGGGGAACGTGCTTCCAAACTTGCGGCTTCGTCAGCGTGTGACCCATCTGCGCGAATTTATCCGCGGCCCTATTCCCCTCCCTATAAGTGTGCGTGAACACGCAGTTCTCGATCTCCGGCACCATCGATTTCACGCGCGTGCGCGCACTTGATCACTCTCTTCTTTCTCGTGATGATATCGGCCATATCCTTGTAGTCGCCCTCGAGCCACACGTTGCTCCACCCGTTTTCCAACACGATCTCGAGGCCCCTCACGAGGGCCGCCAGCTCAGCCAATGTGCTACTGCTTTGACCGATCGACTCGGCATACCCTAGCAAGAAACCCGCGTTGTGGTCACGGAAAATGCCTCCAATGCTCGATTTTCCCGTCTCGCACTTGCACGAGCCGTCGTAGTTCAACTTGGTCCAGCCCTTCTCGGGTCTGGCCCACTTCACATTGATGGCTTCCTTGTGGCAGTGCCTGAGGAAGATTCGGAGTGGTTTGTGGATCGATAATCCATTACAGAACATTCTTGAAACTACCGGCATTGCTCTTAGTTTACTAATGGAATAAATTGGACTGTATTTAAATTATTTTCTCGCAACAAGTGAATGTGTGTGGATTTGGTTTGTGCCATTTCTGGGCCAATGTTTCAACAACGGTTAGAATAATCGCCATAATCCCTGAAATTTGAGCAATGGTTGTACAAAATTTATTTTCCCGGCAAATTGTATCATACATGCATGTACTAGCAACAATTTTTTCATTTTAACAAAAGTACGAGCATCTGTATTGGCATTTAATCTATGCCATTGACACGGTGGCTATCTAGTTTACACAAAATGCAACCATTCATTAATTTAAATCTCAAAATCTTAATCCCAGCCATTGTGAGTTCAACCGATCAAATGCAATTAAACATGCCAAAAAGCTGAAATATGGGCTCCAGTTTGAACCATAAGTAATTAAATTATCATTTTATATTTTGTTGTCTGATTACCCTTTTTTTTCCATTTAGCCATGTTCCCTTGCACTCATTATATATACTAGTATATATCCCGTGCGATGCACGGATGAGCTCATATTTTTTAACTTTTTTTAGACTTTATTTAAATATAATTCTTTATATTTTATCTCATCTACTATGAAAATAAAATAAATACAAACAATGAAAAATATGAATTATTATATCTTAAAATACCCGATTAGATAACTTGGATAAATTTTCGAGTTGTGTTTGTATACAAAAAAACTCACTCCATACTCAAAATTTAACTAAACTTTAACACAACTACACTACAATAAATATTATCAATATAATTAAATAATATCAACAAATCATTCTTAAACATCACTTAATTTTAATTTATTATTCATCCACTCGCATAATTTTAGTTAACTCTCACTTCAAATATTCTCTCTCTTATTTTCAAATCAATTTTAATTATTTTATATTAATTATTATTTTAATATAAAATCAAAATCCCACTAAAAACTAACCATAAGACTTTTTTTAAAAGAAATAACTATAACTAACAAAAATAACTCCTTTTTTGAGTGAAAATATTTGTATACAAACATGGTCTTCATGGTCGAGAACCTCAATTAAATTAGGAAATAAGACCCGTGTTTAGATAATTTGTCGTTATCTTAATTGAATGCTCACAAATACTAACGATATCAAATTTGAGGAATGCTCAAATTTGTTTGAAAATAAGACCTCAATTAAATAAGAGGAAATAAGACAATCCCTTATAAAATTGTTTGAATTACAAATAATATGATTAAAATACCCGATAGTGGAGATTCTTAAAACCACTTATATTTGCTATTTTTAATATCGTTATCTTAATTGATGATATATATAATCGGATTCCTAAAGATTCAATTGTGAAAATACTTGATCATTCCTCTTTTTTTCGGTTTTTCCAAATCAAAAGGAACTGGAATTTATCCAATATGAAAGGAATATCATCCAAAAAAGGAAAACATGTATGAAAAAATTTCAAATAAAATTTTAGGGGGAAAAAAAAGATTTGAGCGGCAAAGTGAAAATATTTTTCAAATATTTTTTCTCATCTCTATTATATAGTAATAGATAGATATCACAAATAATAATATAATTTATTCTAAAATTATCGTATATTACATTTTATTTTGAGTTTATCCTTTTCAAATTTTTAATTAATAAGTTGCTCTAGATTTATTTGTTTGACTTTTTAATCTTTTTATATTACTATATTATATGTGAACTGTATATACTTAAAAACGAAAATGAAATTAAAACTTTGGGCGGATTAAAGGCCTACTTGGAGAACTTTCCCGTTGAAGTAGGACTTTTGGCAGAATAGGCTTTTGCCGTTTTTTCGCCATGTTTAAAATTTTAGAAATATCGGGATAATGCCCTTTCTTGATTTATTAGGTAGATGTTGTCTTTTGAATTTTAGATGGACTGAGCGATACGCCGGATTTTCGTGAAATTTTAGTTAGGTCCGGGAGATTCGGGGTTATGCCTTTTATTGACATGAAAGTTGGGACTTTGTACGAGTTAGGCCCTATGTCGTAACAACGAGTTAGGCCCTATACTCTTCGTAGAGTTAACTGCAGGCAAAACGGGGCCGGTCAAGCCTTTTTCCCGTCAAAGCCAAAACTACTTTGGGTTAATTAGGTTTATGTTGTCTAGTCATGGAGTTTAGAATTTTAAGGAGACCAGCTAGACTGATGCCCCTTCTTGATTCTTAAATGGATGCATCCTTTTGATGTTTTAGCCAGATCAAACGATATGTTGTATTTAGTTCGAGCGGGGAGATTCGGGCTTATGCCATTTAGTCGCAAAGAAGTGAGACTTCGGACGGGTTAGGCCTTACGTCGTAACAACGCGTGGGAAAGTTAGAGCTCCATACAGATTGGGCGGGGCGCCAATATTCTTCGTAGAGTTAACTGTAGGTGGATCGAAGTTAGGCAGTTTCTCGTTGAAGCCAAGACTTAAGGTGGATTAGACTTATGTCGTCTCACAGTGAAGTTTTAGAATTTTAAGCTTTTGTTGATTATTCGTGAATCTTAGATTGATCAAGTTTATGCTTTTTATCGGAGTTTTAGAGTTTGAGATAGGAACTTAGTTGCATCGGTGCGGAGTAGTTAGTTCTCTTCAGGGTGGTAGTTGTTGTGATTGTGAATGGTTTGGAGCATCGGATTGGCGTGGTACTCACCGAACCATCGCCCTGTTTTATGAATTAATCGTGTTTATAAGTGGTCATACGTTGTCATACAAATAGAAAAGGAGATATAGTACTTGCGTGTTCATTTTTTAGATTTACAATAATGATAGTTGCGGCAATGTACAAGAAAATGTATAGAGGGACCAACCAAATATTTCTCCGGGTTGTCGATCTGCCCTTTTCTTGTGTTGTCTTGCATGAGGTGCATCATCGTCACCACCGATATCCAAAGAGCATAAGACGAGGCTCATTGTCGGCGATCTAAGGTACGATCGTGGGGACGCCTTGGGGTGTTGCTCGACCTCGAGGGCCGATCTTGAGAGGTAGGGGTCTCCCATCAAGATTTCCCTTATCAGGGCCCCCAACTCTTGTCCCAAGATGGTGGTCTGATCTCTAGACTGTCTGTCATGATCAAGAACAAAATCGTGACCGTCCAGTCAGGTATGTTGATCACCGGGTTAAAGGGCTTGCGATCCAAATGTGAGACTGAATAAATCACAAAGGGAAAACCTACCCACAGCCACCCTTAGATCGCTCGATTACTATGTAGCCATCGTTATTTTAGGACCAAATACTCCACCCTCTGAATTTCTTGTTGAGTGCGAATTAATCAATCCACATTATTGTTGAAAGGGAACTAATAATGATGTTGAGAAACGGTCTTGAGTTCTATGTCGGGCATTATAACAGAGTAAGAAAACGTAAAAATAAGGTTGCTTGACAGGGGTGTATTTGGGGGTACTTGTCTAGACGGAATAACAGGGAATAACGAAATTGCGTGGATGGTCAACTGAGACGCCCTTTCATTTGGACATAGTAACACGATAAAATTGATATATGAGGTTCATATGAACGGCAGGGTAAACCATTTTAGGATTCAACTGTACCGCAAACCCTTCTTCTAGCGTCATTTTGTTGACATTCATTTTCTTCAATTCGACCATCAAAGCGGTGGTGTGTTATTTAGGATGTGTTTAGTGGTTTAATGCAATTAAAAAGATAACTAGAAAGGGAAGAAATACAACGACGATAGAACTGTCGACAAATTAAAGTGTCTGCATTGTCTTTTTTACAAAGACCTTTTGAAGGCAGTTTCTTGCTAGGAAAATAAAGTTGGAGACCTAAGAATCTATCTACTTTTGGGTGAGAAATTCATTAGGGTGAGAATTCGATGCTCTCTCTCAAGCTTCGGGACCCTACTATTAATAGAAGGAGGACACTTTTAAAATATATTATATTGAGGACACGTGGAGACTTCTTAGAGGCTGACGGCATGCATGGAAAAACGTGCCATTGCAAATTGCGCAACTCGCGCAAATGACTTAGAGCATCTCCAATGGCCCATGGATTGCTCCTTTTTATTGCCATGCGGCATAATTAATCTTATGTGGCATTCAAAATGTCTAGAAGTCTTTCTATGTCTAGAAGTACTTCTAGACATCCTCTATTATATTTTTTAATATTTATTAAATATATATATTATCCCCAACCAATTATAATGTTGCACGTGTCAAATTATACTAAAATTGACATTCATTATTGGAGACAAAATTTTGTAGTTCTCTTTCTCCATGTTATACATCTCCAAATGGACTATATACCATTGGAGATGCTCTTATATCTTTAAGCGGTGCGAATCCATTCTAGAAGGCAATTCTTTTCACACTAGGTAAGATTGGCACTAAGGGAACCTCGCTTCTGACCGATGTGGGGACGTATCTTTGCCGGTCCAATCACCCTTCGATCTAGAGTGAGATCGACGCATCGAGAGAGATCGACTTGGAGGCCAACGTCTTTTGTTCGGGACTATATATTCTTAGTTCGTGGGGACGTCGTTGGTATTGGTTTATTCCCCTTGTTACCGTGGTTTTAGTACGCTGCTTTAATTTAGATCGACATATTTAGGGTATATCAAATTAAATTGGTCATATATCATATCTGTATACATTATTTATATTATGATAACAAATATGCATAGTAAATATTTATTAAAATATGTAAAAATTGATTGAACGATTGATTCGTATTTTAATATATATGTATATATATACCTATATACGAAAAATAAGTTTTACAAGTATGTAAATGTGCAATTATTTAACCTTAGTTATGGTATATGTGTATAAGAGCATTTTTTAAAAATGTGATATGATTAATTATTAGAAAAATTTTGAGTTCATATTAAAATAATATTTAAAATAAAATAATTAAATTTGATTTGATGTCAAAATATAAAAAATGATGTAAAGTTATAGTTAAAATCATGTGAGTAGATGAATAATGAATTAAAATTTATGTATAAAAATGATTAGTTTGTATTACTTAATTACAGAAATACTATGAAGTCATCCACAACTTTATGTATTGACACGTGTCCAATGTGCATTTATTGCAGGACACATGTCAATACACCATTTGTGGATAACTATGGATGACTGACTCCGTAAGTTGAGCCATCCGATGGCTCCATAGCAAAACAATACTTAATTATATGAATAATATTAAGAATATGGTGAAATTGAGTTAAAATTGAATTAAATTTTGAATATGAATTAAATGTGACAAAAATATTTTGTAAATAAGGACCCCTACATTCCCATATATATAATTTGGGAATGTGAGCCTAAGTATCAGGTTCGCGTGCTTCGAAATCTTGACAAAAAAGTATGCTTCGTAATATAATTTCGAAAAAAGTAATATTATTCTACATCAATAATTGTAAGTTCAAATATTCCTTAAATATTAAAAAATTAACTTGGGTAATTCAATTCCATAACATTTGACTAATATAGTCTTAATTTGTTTTGTAAACTTACTTACTTTTGATTATATGACTAATATAACCATAAAATTTATTTTCAAATCTCCTACTTTTCCAAATTGAGTTTTACAATCAAAATGATTAATATATCAATTTTGTGTATGTATATCAAATTAATCATGATGATTGATGAACTCTTATTTGACATCTATATTATACATACAAAATCATTAAATAAATTTATTTATAATTCAAATTAAAATATATATTAATATTAATTTGAAAAAATATAATTATTTAAACTAATTTAACTACAAAGTAATTATCTAATACAAATTAGAAAAATACATAATATAAGATAATAAGTCATGTAAATGATGGTGCCAAATTTAATATAAATAATAATATATTTTATAAAAAGTATTTAAAAATTAAAAAAAATATTATTATTATTTAATTTGAAATATAATTTTTGCCATGTAGTAGTCGATTATTGTACTAGTAACTCATTATCCTTGGATCAGCAAACAGTAATAATCACAATGAATCATACCAAAACCATCAGTAATCATATAATAAACCACAAACTAAACCACCAGTCAACCATCATTAAAAGCAAACAGTAATAATCACAATGAATCATACCAAAACCATCATTAATCATATAATAAAACACAGAAACTAAACCTTGAGTCTTCCTCATTAAAACTAAACAACAGAACCTAAACAACCAGTCAACAATCATTAAAATTTGCCTGAGGCACAAGTTTTCCTCAACAAACATTCAACAGTCACACAGCTCAATTACCATTAGTCAAAACATATCCCTCCCAACTACACAGCAAACAGTGATAGCCATCATTAAATTGTCTGAGGCACAGGTTTTCCTCAACAAACATTCACAGCTCAATACAATTAAAGTCAAAACATATGAACACTTTCATCCAACTACAATATAGCCTCAAATATTTACTTATAAGCAAGTATGTCCCCAACTTCAAAAGTCGGAGGTTCAGAGTCGAGAATGACATATGACTCCTTCATCCCATGAGCCGACAATACCTCTCGCCAATGCTGTTCGTTCTTAGGCCCAGGCCAACTAGTAAAATCCACTTTATTGACATCAGAAATAGGAACTAACCCTTTAGCAGAAAAGCGAACTTCAAGCTCACGTACGCGCAGGTAAATAGATTTTGGAGTATGGTACAGCTTGATAATACAACTAAATTTCAAATATCCAGCAAATTCCGACAATGGCATTGCCTTTTTAGGGATATCACGAAGTCTAGAAAGAATAACCCGTTTCACAAAAGCAGCTGCCTCAAAGTACTTGACATTAACCGTAAATCAGGAGAATACTTGCGATGCTCGTCAAACCAATACTCAAAGCTAGGATCCCAAGAAAACTGATAGACATTAGTCCAAAGTGAACCAAGAACCTCTCTAGTGAAACCCGCTGAAATCATATCACTTTTAAAATTAGCAAGTTCCTCAGAATCAATCTTCTTGTCATTCTTGCCAGTTTCAGAATTATCGCGAGGTGCATCCAACCTCATGTTGTGTATGAAGAAACCAACATTTACACTAACTCAACTCTTGGCTATTGTACTTTCTCTTATTCATAGGTGGGATAATATCCCAAACCAACATTTACACCAACATTTATCTGGTGTCTCTGATAAGTAATTCTTGGTGTCTCTGGTAATTCTGTATTTTCTCGTGTATGCTCTCCATGTTCATTGAATTTCATGTTGGTGTTGTCTCGGAAATTTTGTTCCCAACCTGAAACCACTGACAGAATCGAAGAAGCAGAAGATAATTTTTCTGCCGAAGTTATTGGATAAATTATCTTCATCTTCTGCTTCTTCAATTCTTCGATTCTGTCAGTGGTTTCAGATTGGGAACAAAATTTCCGAAACAACACCAACATGAAATTCAGTGAACATGGAGAGCACACACGAGAAAATACAGAATTACCAATTACCAGAGACACCAGATAAATGTTGGTTTGGGATATTATCCCACCTATGAATAAGAGAAAGTATAATAGCCAAGAGTTAGTGTAAATGTTGGTTTCTTCATACACAACATGAGGTTGGATGCACCTCGCGATAATTTTGAAACTGGCAAGAATGACAAGAAGATAGATTGATTCTGAGGAACTTGCTAATTTTAAAAGTGATATGATTTCAGCGGGTTTCACTGGAGAGGTTCTTGGGATTCTATCAGTGGTTTCAGGTTGGGAACAAAATTTCCGAGACAACACCAACATGAAATTCAATTCAATGAACATGGAGAGTACACACACTGGAAAATACAGAATTACCAGAGATACCAGACATGACAGAATGACCAAAGGAATCCAGAGCACGACCAGAAACCAAAGAATTGCTAAAGAACTCCGAACGACTAGCACAAGAGAGAGATATTGCAGACATACCAGAAATGGCAGAATTACCAAAGAAATTCGAACAAGTACGAGAGACAACAGAGATACCAGGAAAGTCATCCTCCAACAGAGAAGCAGCCAAAAATGGAATGAAATCAGTAGAAGAGGGCTGAACAGCACAAAATCCGGCCAGAACGGAAGCTTTAGTGAACTCCGAAGTGCGATAAGCAGCAGAAAATCCAATCAAAACAGGGGAAGAATCAATAGAGGAATCCGGAGAGGAATCCAAAGTGCGATGAGTAGCAGAAAACAGATTTACGAAAACAAGCAACGGAGAAGGGATTTTTTGGCACACCCTTACTTCCCAGAGATGAGAGAAAACGCAACATTTTGGATGTGTTTCTAATGATGGTGAGGCGAAGAGGACTGATTAATTGTTACTTATAGATATATTTTTAGGGTTATCATAAATTGCCTGGCTAGGCTGGGTTGGGGTTGGATTAGTTTAGGCTGGGTTTGCGTGGGCATGGTTGGGGTTGGGTTAGTTTGGGCTGGGTTTGCGTGGGCTTCGTGAAGGCTTAGCGTTGCCTGACTTGGGCTCCGGCTAAATAGTTATAATAACATATAACTATATATAAAAAAAAGCACTTGGGAATTGTAGGTAACTTCGAAATTTTATGTCTTGTTGTTCTGCGAACAATTTATCAACCAAGTGCGTCCATTCACAATTTTGTAAGGATGGTTTATTTCTTGTATTATTTTTTAGACTGATTTTCATACCACTTTCTAGTTTTATCACATTCTTCCCTCTCTCCATATTCAGCATTATGAAGAATACACTCCCAGTCGGGCACAAGCTAGCTTTTCGAAAGGTTTAATTTCAAACCAATGCTTATATGATTTTCACACACACAACTAACTTATCTAGCGTACTCGAATCTGCATAAACAATATTTCTTCACATTATGACACAAAGCTCATTAATTACCCAAAGTATATAAAACTACAATTAATTAGCTCTACATAATCTATAGTATACTTATTAGTAATGACAAACATCAAAGTACAATTATCTTCAACAAAGAATATACACAAATAAATAAAAATAAATAAATAAGATAATCTAAACATTAATATGTACAAAATTAAGTAACACAATCCTCATCTTCTCCGTAAGAACGTCTTTCCCTCCGCATCCCCATTCACGATACGTAAAACCTCATTCAGTGGAACGTGCCTCCAAACCTGCGGCCTCTTCAGCTTGTGTCCCATCTGTGCGAATTTATCCGCGGCCCTATTCCCCTCCCTAAAAGTGTGAGTGAACACGCAGTTCTTGATCTCCGACACCATCAAGTTCACACGCGCCACATGTGCACGCACTTGCGCGCACCTGATAACTCTCTTCTTTCTCGTGATAATGTCAACAATGCCCTTGGAGTCGCCCACGAGCCACACGTCACTCCACCCGTTTTCGAGCACGATCTCGAGGCCCCTCATGAGGGCCGTCAGCTCAGCCAACGAGTTGTTGCTTTGACCGATCGACTCGGCATACCCTAGCAAGAAACACGTGTTGTGGTCACGGAAAATGCCACCAATGCTCGATTCTCCCGTCTTGCACTTGCACGAGCCGTCATAGTTCAACTTGGTCCAGCCGTGGTCGGGTCTGGCCCACGTCACGTTGACCGCTTCCTTGTGCCAGTGCCTGAAGAAGATTCGGAGTGGTTTGTGGATCGATAATCGTTTATCGAACAATCTTGAAACTATCGTCATTGTTTCGAATTTACACGCTAAATTGAAGTCGGATTATCGGTCATTGAACGGAGAAATAAACTACGTCATTGTACGGGATTCGGCACATTTTGGTCATGGGAATTTAGGTTTTGTATGAGAATATTGTAGATGATTTTGCGTGGGGAGAAGCTAATGGAATATTTTGCAAACTTAACTATATTTATATTCTTTTCTTGCAAGAAAAGATTGTGTGTGTGGATTTGGTTCGCGGCATTTCTGGGCCAATGTTTGAATAACGGTAAGTTAACCGTCATAATCTTTGGAAATTGAGCCGTGAATATTGGAGAATAATCGCCTGGATTATCTGAGGCCAAGAATGCAGTGGTTCAACTAAGTTTTTTTGTAAAAAAAAAAAATAATAATAATAATAAAAAAAAAAATCATTTGCGTCTCAAATAATAGTAGCAAATAAAAATAAGAGAAATGGATAACCATTTTAGCAACTTCTTTTTTCAACAAGTGTTTTAGCAACTTATATTTGCTTGTTCGTTTTCGTGCATCGTGCTTGCATTGTTTCATTTTATATTTTTCATCCTATGCCAATTGGTATGTAAAGTAATAATATGAGAATTATTTATAAAAAATGACAAGTTATTATGTGTTTATTATAAATTTAATAGTATATTTTATATGTTTAGTTTACTGCTCAACTAGTTAGATTTAGGCGCATGCTTATTCCAATTAAATATTCCAAGTTTTAGAAAACGAGGAGATGTGATATGTGCACTAATTAAACTAGTTAATCCAAGGCATAAATTGACCTGACTTTACTCATTTTCGTTTCATTATTTATTTCCCTTGAATTATTCTGTCTTTAACTTTAACTATTATTCTAACTATTATTCTATTTTATTCTCTCTCACTAGTAACGAATTAAATCAAAACTCTCTATTACTTTATTTTAATTAATACAAAATAAGCACAATTTGTACAACACTTCTTCTCATGAGATCTAGATAATTTCATAAATTCAAATTTGCAGAGTCAGCCACGCGCAATCAATTTTGAGCGCAAGAACGTCTTTCCCTCCGCATCCTCGTTCACGATACGTAAAACCTCGTTCGGGGGAACGTGCCTCCAAACCTGCGGCTTCGTCAGCTTGTGACCCATCTGTGCGAATTTATCCGCGGCCCTGTTCCCCTCCCTATAAGTGTGCGTGAACGCGCAGTTCTCGATCTCCGGCACCATCGATTTCACGCGCGCCAAGTGCGCGTTCGCCTGCGCGCACTTGATCACTCCCTTCTTTCTCGTGATTATGTCGGCCATGCTCTTGTAGTCGCCCTCGAGCCACACGTTGCTCCACCCGTTTTCCAACACTATCTCAAGGCCCCTCACGAGGGCCGCCAGCTCAGCCAGTGTGCTACTGCTTTGACCGATCGACTCGGCATACCCTAGCAAGAAACTCGCGTTATGGTCACGGAAAATGCCCCCAATGCTCGATTTTCCCGTCTCACACTTGCACGAGCCGTCGTAGTTCAACTTAGTCCAGCCCTTCTCGGGTCTGGCCCACTTCACATTGACGGCTTCCTTGTGGCAGTGCCTGAGGAAGATTCGGAGTGGTTTGTGGATCGATAATCCATTACCGAACAATCTTGAAACTACCGGCATTGTCTCTTGGTTTACTAATGGAATGTTTCTAAATTGGACTATATTTAAATTATTTTATTGCAACAAGTGAATGTGTGTGTGAAAGAAATCAAACAAAAATGGAAGAAAAGCATCATGAAGAAGATGAACTTCATTAGGGTTTATCAAAGATTTTGCCTTCTCATTCATCACACTTCACATCATGTACAGTGATCCATATTTATATCAAATAACAAAAGCCCTAAGCTAAAACATAATCCCAACGTTCCAATCATTGAGTGGCTGCGGCTTGATCCTCACCATACACGTGCATGGCCAGAGATGAAGCCAGCTCATTCTTGGTTGGTGGCATACGCTCCTCCTTTGTCTGGTAGTGAGGGCATGCAGCAGGTGCTCTTGGCCTTTTGTCATTTTGCTCAACAAACTCTTCTTTGTCCATGTGTGATCCAAGGTGGATATTTTCCACGTGCTTGCTGAGCTGGTCAGGATCCAAAGGCATTTTAACACACCCTCTCAATTCGAGGCCAGGTAAAGATGTGATCATGAGCTTCTTCTTTAACTTGGAGAAGAATTGTAAACTCAATGCCTTTGTGAAAATGTCAGCCACTTGTTCATATGTAGGAACATGTTGGACACTGAATACTCCCTGACTTGTTTTCTCTCTAATGAAGTGAACATCAAGTTCCACATGTTTGGTCCTTGCATGTAAAACAGGGTTGTTAGCCAATGAGATTGTGCTTTGGTTGTCCACCCAAATTATAGGTGTCCCTGAGATCACAACACCTATTTCCTTCAAGAGAGACTGTAGCCAAATCATTTCTGTTACACAATGAGCCAAGCTTCTATATTCTGCCTCTGTGCTCGATCTTGAGACACAAGCCTGTTTCTTAGAAGCCCAGGACACTAAGTTTCCTCCTAGATAAACACAAAGTCCTGTGACATATCTCCTATCATCTATATCACTTGCCCAATCGGCATCAGAGAAACCAGTCAAACTAAGCTCATTTGTCTTCTTGATATGTAGGCCATGATTTACAGTTCCAGCAAGATACTTCAGAATTCTTCTAACAGCTTTCAAATGAGTATGAAGAGGATTTGCCATGAACTGAGATACTCTATTCACACTATATGCTATCTCTGGTCTTGTGATAGTAGCATATTGTAAAGCTCCAACCAAGCTTCTGTAAAACTTCACATCTTCCAGGGGATCTCCATCAGACCTTGAAAGTTTCACTCCAGTCACCATAGGTGTTGGTGATGCCTTAACCTTTCTCATGCCTGCTTTCTCTATAAGCTGCTTAATAAAACCTCCCTGACTCATAAACAATCCATCATGAGTCTCATTTACTTCTATCCCAAGGAAATGATGCAACTTACCAAGATCCTTCATTATGAAAAACTTCTGCAATTGACTGATAACTGAGAAGATGAGGACTTGGTTATTCCCTGTGATTAATATGTCATCCACATAGATAAGGAGAAAGACTACATTCTGATTCTTTCTCATGAAGAAAAGAGAGTTGTCTGCCTTTGAGGTTATAAACCCAAGCTTCATCAGAACTTGTTGGATTTTATGAAACCAAGCCCTTGAAGCTTGTTTCAAGCCATACAAAGCCTTGTTAAGCTTGCACACTAATCCTGCTGGAGTGGACACCTCATACCCTGGTGGCTGCTTCATATATATTTCTTCCTCCAAATCTCCATTGAGGAATGTATTACTCACATCCAGTTGCCTGACTTCCCATGAGTTAAAGACAGCAATGGATAAGATCACTCTGATTGTAGTGGCTTTAACAACCGGACTAAAGGTCTCCTTATAATCTAATCCTGCATGTTGAGAGTACCCTTGGGCCACAAGTCTGGCCTTATACCTTGAGACAGAACCATCAGGGTATCTTTTCAACTTGTATACCCATTTGCATCCAACTAAGTTCTTTCCTTCAGGGAGATCAGTCAAAGTCCAAGTTTGATTTCTGAATCAAGGCATTGTACTCTTCTGTCATGGCCTCTCTCCATTGTCTATGCCTCACAGCCTCATGGAAAAGGTTTGGTTCAAGATCGTCATTAGTGGTAGCAAGAAAGATCTTTGGTTTGTGTATCCCAGCTTTCCTCCTTGTCACCATGGGGTGGACATTCTGAGTTTGATCACCATGTTGGTTCACCTGAGTGGAATAACTATGAGTCTGCTCCTGCACAAAATGGTTAGGTGTGGAATCAGCAGAAACATCTTGCATATTAGGTAACTCAACAATTAAAGGTATAGTATCATGACTGGAGAAAGAGCTTGCTGTATTTTGTGTTGAGGGATTTTCTGTGTTGCTGGGAGGCTGTTGTTGGTTCAAGTGAGGTATTACAGTTGGTGGATTCATAGGTAAGTGAGGTACATTCCCACTATCATTTACTGGAATTTTGGTCTCCTTACTAAAGGGAAAATTTTTCTCATCAAACAGAATGTCCCTAGTTATGATCACTTTTCCCTTGGGCAAAAGAACTTTATATCCTTTATGTGCATTGCTATATCCTAAGAACACACCTGGTAAGGACCTATACTCAAGCTTATGTCTGTTGTATGGTCTCAGACAAGGGTAGCAAAGACACCCAAACACTTTCAAACTGTGATAATTTGGTCTGTGATGAAACAGCCTTTCAAGGGGGGTAACAAAGTTTAGAATTTTGGAAGGAACTCGGTTTATAGTAAACACTGCAGTAACAAAGGCATCATCCCAAAACTTGAGTGGCATAGAAGCATGTGCCATCATAGCAAGTCCTAGTTCAACTATGTGCCTGTGCTTTCTTTCTGCAACCCCATTTTGTTGAGGTGTGTAAGGACAAGACACTCTATGGTGTATTCCATGCTCTTGGAGGTATTTAGATGGACTTCTATACTCACCCCCCCAATCACTTTGCACAGTCTTTATTTTGAATTTAAGCTGGTTTTCAATTAAAGTTTTGAACTGGATAAAGGCTTGCAAGGTGTCTGATTTTTGTTTGAGAAGGTATATCCATGTGAATCTGGTGTGGTGATCAATTAGGCTCAAATAATAGGAATAACCATTTCTGGACTTTATAGGAGAAGGACCCCACAAGTCACTGTGAATTAATTCAAGAGGCTGAGTAGTTTCAGATGTGGAAAGAGTGTAAGGTAGTCTGTGGCTTTTGCTCATCATACAAGAATTGCATAAATCTGAAATTTCATTAGAAAGATAGGACACATTACAATGCTCTAGAGCCTTTCTAACCACCTCATAACTAACATGCCCCATTCTTTGATGCCATAACTCTAGATCACATGCCTTATTTAAACTGAAACTAAAAACATCAAGCTTGTCTGAAGTAGAGGAAACATCCTTTGTGACTGGTGTCTTGGACTTGAAACTGGTGAGATTGAATTGGTAAAGGCCATCTTTAACTTTCCCTTTGAGAAGAACTTCCTTGGTTGCTTGGTCCTTAACAAAACAAGAATCAGGGTGAAACTCAAAGATAACCTTATTGTCTAGAGCAAATTGGGACACACTCAGTAAGTTTTTGGTAATTTTTGGAACATGAAGGAGTTCATTTAGGACAAAGATTCTGGGATGAGATGGGGATTTCAAAAGCGAGCTACCATTATGCAAAATGTTTATGCCAGTCCCATTACCTAAGTGGAGTTTGTGCTCACCTGAGTAGTCTGTGGCAATGTTGAAGTTGTTGAAGTCATTGGTGATGTGATTACTAGCACCTGAATCAGGGAACCACATTGAGTTGTCTTGACTGGTTTCAGAAGAAGCATAGCTGTTGACTTGTGCCACATTGAGGTTAGGAGGTTTGTTTCCCTGAGCACTTTGATTGTTCTGTGCCATGAAGTTTGAATCAAACCTGTACCAGCACTTGTTGGCATCATGACCAGCCTTTTGGCAGATTTGACAAGTGACTCTACCAGTAGAACGGCCACCTCTGCCTCTGAAGTTCCCCCTTGTACCTCTTCCTCTTGAGTTGGAATAACCTCCTCTTCCTTTGTTCTCAAACTGGTTGAAATTGTTATGAAGGTTCCTTCTCTGATTTGGATTGGTTTGAGAGACAAAATTCAGAGAGGGCTGTGAGCCATCAGTACTTAGATTTCCAGAACTATTTGACTCAAGTCTAGACTCATAGCTCAGGAGCAAGGCTTGAAGGTCCACCATAGAGAAAGACTCAGGCCTTGAAGTGACTGTGACCACCACCGAGTCATACTCTGAGCTCAATCCTCCAAGAATGTGCATCACTTTGTTGCTCTCAGATATCACTTCATTTGCAGATGCTAACATGTCAAAGATTGACTTAATCTTCTTCAGATAATCTGTCATGCTCAAGTTTCCCTTCTTGAGATTGTGCAGCTGCATCTTGTACTGCATGATTTTTGCCTTGGATTGACTAGCAAAGTTCCTCTCAAGGGTATCCCATATCTCCCTTGAGCTGCTTAAGCCAACCATGAGGACAAGAATATTGTCTGAGAGGGAACACAGCATCCATGAAGCCAGCAGTGAGTCTTGTCTTTCCCAATGAGTGAACTCTGGGTTGACAGTGATTTCTCCCTCCAGAAATTTTGGTGGAGGAGCTGCATCTGCTTTGATGAAGGACTCCAGTCCATAGCCTCTGATAGTGGTGCTGATTTGTTGCCTCCAGATCAAATAGTTGTCATGGTCCAACTTGGTTGAAATGAGCTGACTTTGAGGGAAAATTCGAGAAGAGAGTTGGTTTGTCTGCGTGAATGAAGTAGAGGAGTGGCTTGAGTCGGCCATGGTGAAAGAGGAAATCGAAGAAATGAAGGTGAAATTAAAGAAAGGGGGATATCAGAGACATGGCCTCAACCATGCTCTGATACCATGAAAGAAATCAAACAAAAATGGAAGAAAAGCATCATGAAGAAGATGAACTTCATTAGGGTTTATCAAAGATTTTGCATTCTCATTCATCACACTTCACATCATGTACAGTGATCCATATTTATATCAAATAACAAAAGCCCTAAGCTAAAACATAATCCCAACGTTCCAATCATTGAGTGGCTGCGGCTTGATCCTCACCATACACATGCATGGCCAGAGATGAAGCCAGTGTTTGTCCCATTTTTGTTGCGTTTTTCGTTGTTATTTTGTCCCTCATATTGAGTCATTTAGATGGTTTTAGGATCATTTTGTCATTTATTATGTGTTTTGCGTTCATTTGAGTGTTGCGATGTTTTCCGTTTGTTTTCCGGTCTTTTTCTGTTCTCTTTTCGTTTTTGGTGTGTAGTTTGAAGACCTTGGGAGAACAGGTTTTCGAGAATCTTGTGGGGAAGCTGACACCATTAGATAGAGGGGTTCGTTAGCGACACGTAGGAAAAAACGGAACTCAATTCTGAGTTAAAACGAACCCGAACGAGCAAAAATCGTAAGATGGTGCAGTGCAGATTTTGGTCTCCGCGGCCGCGACCCTTTCTTCGCCGCGGCCGCGGCGAAGAAAAACTGCCAGGTCCCAAATTTCAGCAATGAAAATCCCGCGGCCGCGGAGGTCGCGACAGCAGGATTTTTATTTCGCGATTTTGATCAGTTTTGGGGGACGTTCCACTTAGGTTTTGAGTTGGCTCTCCTACTTTTTCACCCCAGAACTCAGTTTTCTCTTATCTTTCACTGGGAATTGATCTTGGATTGTGAAAACACCAAGATTTGACTCGTGGATTTGGATTGTTCGTTGTTCTTTCGACATTGGATTCATATTTAATTGTAAGCTTTCTATTTCATTTTATCTGTGATGATGATGGCTTTGATTGATATTGATGTTGATGTTGAATTGATGATGAGTGGCTAAATTCATATCTAGGGATAGGGGATTGATGTTTTGAAATCGTTTGTGATTGTGGCATTCGTTGATTGTTCTTTCCATGCGAGTTAATCTTTTATTATGGTTCTTCAATTATCAGGCTTGAGTATTGATAATTGTTGAAGGGTGACACTTCAACTTACAATTGTTTCAATTGAATTTGATTTATTCGTGCTTGAAATTGGGAATCTAATTGATTAGTCGGTTAATCACCCTCTAGTCTACTTTAATCGACTCTCAGAACTGAAAGGGGAGGAGTCGGTCGAAATAGGCTCGTATGAACTAGGCTTGTTCATAACTGTATTGCCTAGGAGTTAAATGAATTGTTAATTTGCCGTTCTAGTTTTTTCTCTTGTTACGAAAAGTTATTGAGAATGAGTACTCGAACGTGTCGATTATTCAAATCACTTAGCTGAACAATCACCTGCCCATTAATTGCAATTCGAACCAAAACGGATCTCCCCGATTCCCTAGTTTCTTTATTATTATTTAGTTGGTATTTTAAGATTTATGCTTTTATGCTATTTCTTAGTTGATAATATATTCCTCATTTCTGATTAGAGTGTCTAGTTTTTTATCTTCTTTTTGTGTGAAATCAATACCAAAGTTAAATTCCGAACCGCCTTCCTCGAGAGATCGACCCGGGAAACGAATCCTTGATTCGGTACTCGGTAAATATAACAATTTGTACACAACAGCCAGCTCATTCTTGGTTGGTGGCAGACGCTCCTCCTTTGTCTGGTAGTGAGGGCATGCAGCAGGTGCTCTTGGCCTTTTGTCATTTTGCTCAACAAACTCTTCTTTGTCCATGTGTGATCCAAGGTGGATATTTTCCACGTGCTTGCTGAGCTGGTCAGGATCCAAAGGCATTTTAACAGTGTGGATTTGGTTTGTGCCATTTCTGGGCCCATGTTTCAAAGACGGTTAGAATAATCGCCATAATCCCTGAAATTTGAGCAATGGTGTACAAAATGTATTTTCCCGGCAAATTGTATCATACATGCATGTACTAGCAACAATTTTTTCATTTTAACAAGAGTACGAGCATCTGTATTTAATCTATGCCATTGAAACGGTGGCTATCTAGTTTACACAAAATGCAACGTACCGTTCATTAATTTAAATCTCAAAAACTTAATCCCAGCCATTGTGAGTTCAACCGATCAAATGCAATTAATCATGCCAAAAAGCTGAAATATGGGCTCCAGTTTGAACCATAAGTAATAAATTATCATTTTATATTTTGTTGTCTGATTACCCTTTTTTTTCCATTTAGGAATGTTCCCTTGCACTCATCATATATATATCACAAATAATAAATATAATTTATTATAAAATTATCGTATATTACATTTTATTTTGAGTTTATCCTTTTCAAATTTGAAATTAATTAGTTGCTCTAGATTTATTTGTTTGACTTTGTAATCTTTTTATATTACTATCACTACAACAAAAAAGGGCTCTAACAACATAAATATGGTGACTTTTTAAATAAGTGTAATTAAATTGATGTGTTTGTGATACTTTTTAAAAAGCGTCACAAAATATAAATAATAACAACGCTTTTTAAAAAAATGTAATAAAATCATATCGCTTTTTAAAGAGTGTCACCACATTAATTAATATTGAGACATTTATTTTAAAGTGTAATTAAATCATGACGTTTTATACAAAAGTGTCGTCATGTTTAGTTATATGGCGACACATTTTAAAAATTGATGTAAAATAATGTCACAATTTTTATTAATATGACAACATTTACATCAAAGTGTAATTATGTTATGACACTTATATAATTGTGTCACCATTTTTAAGTATATAAAAACACTTAAAAAAGCATAATTATTTAATTAGTGACATTATTAGAATATTTTTATTATTATATAACACATATACAATAATTAGTAAAATTGAATAGGGACTAGGGTTTTGTCACTTCTCAATTCCACCCATGTTCTCCTTTCAATCCCGCTCCCGCCCCAGCTCAAGCCCCCTATTCTTCTCATCAAGCTCATGCCGCCCCGCCTCGCCTCGCCTCAACATCTCCACCTCAGCCTCCTTAAGTCGTCGGTAAGTCCCCTCATTAAGCTGGTAGATATTACTCCTTTTTTTTTCAACAGAGTTTACTCCTTGGTGACAAGAGGAACACCGCCGCCGACGAGAGTTACGACACTGAAAGCTGCTGGTGCCCGGCGAGAATACGAACACTGCCGCTTTACGTGGACCCTTCTTCCAGGTGCTCCATTTCCTTCTTTCTAAAATGTTCTTTTGTTGCATAAATCAAGTCCCTTTTGGCCCGTTTGTGTCAAAGATTCGAATTTTTCCATGTTCGTTCCTTTCTTCTTCTTCTCGTGTTGATATTTTGACTGAAATCTTGGGCTTTATATATTTGGTTGTTCTTAATTGATTGTGAAAAATAGAATTTTGGTTCTATTTGCACAATATGATTTGAAGTTGCAAGAGTTAGATGCTAAAATATGGCCTGTGTCTGAAGTATGTAAGGTGTTTGACATAATGGTTGAGTGAACAAAATAAATATCAGATTTTTGGCTCCTTTTTTTTTTTATTATTTTGGTACATTTTTTTGGCTTTCAATGGCTGATATTTGTCTTGTCCCCTAATTGTATCAAACTGGACTTGAAATTATTGATTTTATCTAAAGCCATTTTTTATCTGTCATTGTTATTTAACAGCTTACTAGAAAGAACCATATAAGGATTGTAACTATGATATCACAGATTCACAAACCAGAGAAGATTTGCCATAATTTTATTTAAAGCCATTTTTTTATCTGTCAATGACTTGAATGATTCCGCCAAACAGCATGAGGCTTCTGCACTTCGGGCTTCCAACCATGCTTCTGCATTTCTAAGTTAATTTATTTGATACTGCAGCTAGATCTTTTCACATTTTAAGCTTCTCGGCTTGGTTCTTTTGTTACATTTATAGTGTATTTGAATATCCATGTATACTCAGGATCATTTGACTTTCACCACATTTGCAGCTTGATATGCTACAAGAAGAGAATGAAGCAATTTTAGATAAGGTGAGTTTTATGATTACTTATGTGCAGACTTAAAGATAAACCAGATGTGATCATGTAAAGCAAGAAAAACTGCTTTTGATTTCTCTTTTGTGGGAAGTAGAATTAATTTTTCCCACAACTTCGTCGTGCAGAAGAAAAACGTGAAGAAGCTGAAGCCAGAGTCCGGGAGTTGGAGAAACAGGTTAGTCTTAGAGCTAAGACAATCAGTTCGTCAGTTTGAATTTTGTTTTTTCATTCTGATCATCAATTGGTAAGGAACATGTTGGTTGCTTTAGGAGCGGCATGACTTCTTAAAATGTGTTAATGCTTGAATTTAAATTTTGAATTTGAATTATATACAATTTGTTAATGCTTGAATTTAAATTTTTGTCATTATGTTCTAATTGATGGTGAATTTGCCTAGACATCAAATCGTATATATATGTACGATTTTTTTAGAGGGGTTTCTTATTTCAGCTCTTTGCTTTTTCTGAAGTTGCTTAGAAGATCATAGAATATTATAATTTCGTATTAAGAGTTCTATAGTTGAGGGAGCAATTTTTTTGAGGAAGGAATGTTGATTGGGAAACCTGCTAACAAAAGAGAAAATGAAGTAGTAAAATAAATTAAAGAAGCCTAAGAAATAAATAATTGAAGTGCCGACAACCAGTGAACTATGCCTAAGCTAAATTACATTTCTATGTTGTTTTGCATCTCATGTTTAATTGTAGTTCCATGATTGTCCTAGAGTTTTTAACTTGTGTATGTCATTTTGTTTTTCAACAGCCGGGTTTTTGGTAACCCGCATGCCATCATCAAGAAGTATGGTTTGATATGCTGCAGAAAATGCTACAACGCCAAGGATATCGGCTTCATCAAGGTATTTGTTCATTTACATTGATAACTCCTTTGTTTCTGAAATTATCGTATATTACATTTTATTCTAAAATTATCGTATATTACATTTTATTTTGAGTTTATCCTTTTCAAATTTTTAATTAATAAGTTGCTCTAGATTTATTTGTTTGACTTTTTAATCTTTTTATATTACTATATTATATGTGAACTGTATATACTTAAAAACGAAAATAAATTAAAACTTTGGGCGGATTAAAGGCCTACTTGGAGAACTTTCCCGTAAGTACTGTTTTTTTGCTGGCGAAATATGTAGCGTAAAAAATCTGTAAAAGGCGCCGAGAAGCCCGCCTAGTCCCGCCGAAACCGTGTAGCCGCCGTGACCGCCGAGGCCGCCTAGTTCCGCCTAGGCCCGCCTAGCCTGCCCGACCAATTTTTCTGGCCGATTGTAACAAATCGGCGGCGGTGGGCCGATTTTTAGAACAATGCTTTTTGGTTGGTAGGTCAAACAGTTAAATGATTATATTTTTTGGCAAAGATATGTACTTTAGAACAGAAATTTCATTCTATAACAAATAATACAAATTAACAAAAATTCTATAAAGTCATCGAATAGTTTTTTTTAAATGGAGTCATTCACTACTTAATGTGTTGACACATGTCCAAATTGTATTTATTATAAAACACTATTGGTCAATTTAAAAGCAAGTATATATTTTTGTTACCACTGTATAACGATCGGTCTGTTTAACGGTTAAAGCGTCTCTACGAGAATTTGTTATAACTAAATAAGTAGGCTCAAATTGTCCAAAAAAAAAGTATTAATTTTCCTAGTGAGATAAAAGAACATACCAAAGAATTATGATAAATAAATTAAAAAAAAAAAAGTTAAAGCAAAGACGTTTGGATTTCAATTGCGTGTACTGGGACTCTAATTTGGGAAAATTTCAAAACTAGTCCCACAGTTATAGGGGGTGACAATTTTGGTCCCAATGGAATGCAGAAAATATGAATAGTCCCACAACTTTTAAAAAATGATCAAAAGTAGGATTTTTTCGCCGGATTTACTATTTCCGGCCCGGAACCGCACGTGGCATCCGACGTGTTCATATTTTTTTACAAGTTGTGGGACTAGTTTTGAATTTTCTGCATTCCATCGGGACCAAAAATGTCACTCCTGTAAACTTGTGGGACTAGTTTTGAATTTTTTCTTATCTAGGAAAAAATTCAAAACTGAGCCACGTGTGCGCCATGTGTGCACCAGCGTGTAAAGAATAAGCCATGTGTGCGCCACGTGGCGTTCCGGGCCGGAAATAGTAAATCCGGCGAAAAAGTCCTACTTTTGATCATTTTTTAAAAGCTGTGGGACTATTCATATTTTGTGCATTTCGTCGGGACCAAAATTGTCACCCCCCTATATCTGTGGGACTAATTTTGAATTTTTCCCCTCTAATTTTGCCGAAGGCTTTCTCTTGTATCAATGAAAGAAAGCAGAGAATCACTTGCAGAGATAAGAAAATAGTTAATGCCCATAAATATAATAAGAAATTAAAAATATAAAGTATATTAGAAGAAAGGGGTAGTCTTTTGTGTTAGGTCGTATTAATCAACATATTTTTTTTTTACAAATAAACATATTTTCATTTAGAAACCCCATAATTTAAAAAACAATATCAACGGAATTATGAATCTAAGATGGCACGTAAATAGTATCATTGGTTAACTCATCTTACTGTAAACTTCTTCACACAATAATTTATTATGTAAAAAAAAGATGGCACGTTGCTTTTTCATGGGGCAATATATCTCAGATTATGGCTCGAACACCTCAAAAAGTAAGTTGGCATTTTTCCCTTTTAATTGGCTAACCTCTTTAAGCAAGCCTACTGTTCTCTTACAGCAAACCTGAGAGACGAATAAAGTTTTAAGGGAAAAAAATATTATTATGACCGAAAAAATTGGCTATGGCATAGCTATCTGACTTGATGATAAAGCCAGGACAATATAATTATTTTGATGTCATTAACGTAGATTAATTTATGCATTAATAATGTGCTTGAGTATGTATATATGTAGCTCTGAGGCATCTGGTCAAAGAAAAAAGCTGCAACGTGGCCTTTAAATTTAGTATGCTCTTTTTAGCTTATCAAAGTTCAGGGTAATTACTAATTATCACGTGTCAAGGATTCGATCCAGTAACAAGGGTAGAGAAAAAAAGTAGGACTAAAAAAAATGAAAGAGAATTTTGCTCTATATTTATGATGCACCATTTCACCTTACGTTTTTATTTACATAATTACAAATTTTTGTATAAGATAGGCGAATTGATCCGTCATAAAATTTTAATACATATTTAATATATATAAGAAAGAAAGTATTATACATAATATATGATCTGTCATGAGAGCAAGTTAATCCGCATTTAAATGAAAAAGAAAAGAAAAATCTCGTTCATTCGATGATTACGCAGTTAGTGTCATGAAAGAAGTTAGGATAAATCTATTTTTATTCTTTCAAGTAATTAATCTCTCTATCTTGTTTTTTATGAGTGCATCCCTAATTATTTACTTTATCTTTCGTAATATGCAAATAAGTTTTACATGTATGTAAATGTGCAATTATTTAACCTTAGTTATGGTATATGTGTAAAGGAGCCTTTTTTAAAAAATGTGATATAATTAATTATTAGTAAAATTTTAAATTGTTATTTAAAGTAATATTTAAAATAAAATAATTAACTTTGATTTGTTATAAAAAATATGAGAAATGATACAAAGTGATAATTAAAATAGTGTAAATGAATAAATTAAAATTGATGTATAAAAATAATTAGTTTGTATTAGCTAATTATATAAATAATGTTAAAAATTGTAAAATTAAGTTAAAAATGAACTAAATTCTGAATATGAACTAAATGTAACTGAAATATTTTGTAAACAAGGACACCTACATAACTCATCCATCGTCAAACCGTGATAATCACAATAAGTCAAACAAAAACCATCATTAATCACCAAAACATTCATCAGTCAAACTAAACCATCATTATTCATCATTCCATGAGTTCACATAAACCAAACCATGAGGCACAGTTCATCAGTCACAAACTAAACTAAACGATCATTAAAATTTGTCTGAGGAGCTCAATTACAATTAAAGCGGAAACATATCCCTTCCAACAATAAAAACCAAATACAAACAAAATTATATCCTCAGCTATGAGCCATAAACATTGAGATTTCATCCAACTACTAGCCTATCAAAACTCAAAATAACCACTTTCATCCACCTACCAGCCCCAAATATTTATAATCCAAATCAACTTATCACCTTAGCAAAAGTAAACTCACAATCAGCACTAACTACACTCCCAACCACAAATATTTACTTAAAAGTCAACTTGTCATCGTTAGCAAAAACAGAAGGTTCAATGTCAAACACTAACTACAATATCTCTCGTAATGTCTTGTCTGGTACAGCAATATTTCGTGATATATGTCTGTTTTGGTATTTGCGCAATTGGTGATTCTTTAGCTACTTGGATGTTTTCCTTCTCTTCCCAATTGGAAAAGATTGACAGAACCCCAATAGAATATATAGAAACGGATTTAGAAGATTTTTCTTCAAAAATTAGAAATTTGTTGGACAAACTAAGGTCTCAAATTGCAGTGTTAGGTTTGGAATATTATCCAACGTATGTCATCATGAATCAGTATTATCGTAAAGACAAGTGGGAGTCTAGAGTTGTTGTTGTTGTTGACGGGTTTTAAGGCTAAAAAGACCAAGATTGATCCAAGAAGGCTACTTTATGCATTTAAAGTTGATATGATTAAAGCTGGTTTCAATTACAAAATTCTTAGTTCATTCTGGAAAAATGTTTATCAGCACGCTTGGGGATGAGAGTTTGAATATTGTTTAAACAACATTATAAGCATGCCCCTGATTTAGCTACTGACAAGGTAAAATACTTTGAGAGACTGTGTAAGATGGGTTGTACTTTCCAAGATAAGTATTATCCCTAAAAAGCCGATGCCATTGTCAAAATTTGTAGATTATCTGAATTTTAGCTTGCATTCTTAAATTGTATCATTGTCCACACTCCATTATCTTGTGCGTATGCGAGCTTGAAGTTCGTTTTTCTTCTCTAGGATTAGTTCCTCTCCCTGATGACCATAAGGTGGATTTTGATGGTTGGCCCATTATTTTGAGTTTTGATAGGCTATGATCAGACAAAAACCTTTTGCCAAAACTCTTCATGAATGGTCAACCATCAAAATTCACCTTATGGTCATCAGGGAGAAGAACTAATCCTTGAGAAGAAAAACGAACTTGAAGCTCGCATACGCGCAAGATGATGGAGTGTGGACAATGATACAATTTAATAATGCAGCTAAAATTCATATACTCTACAAATTTTGACAATCGCATTGATTTTTTAGGGATAATACTTATCTTGAAAAAGATCACCCATCTTACAAACCTGGCAGCCTCAAAATATTTTACCTTGTCAGTAGCTAGATCAAGGGCATGCTTATAATGTTGTTTAAACCAGTACTCAAACTCTCATCACCATCATTTTTCCAGAATGAACTAAGAATTTTGTAATTGAAACCAGCTTTAATCATATCAACTTTGAATGCATAAAGTAGTCTTGGATCAATCTTGGTCTTTTAAGTCATTTTAGCCTTAAAACCCGTCAACAACAACTCTAGACTCACACTTATCTTTACAATAATACTGATTCATGACATATGTTGGATAATATCCCAAACCTAACACTGCAATTTGAGACCCTAGATTGTCCAACAAATTCCCAATTTTTGAAGAAAAATCTTCTAAATCTTTTTTTAAATATTAGTTCTGTCAACCTTTTCCAATTGGGAAGAGAAGCATCAGAACGAGCACGGAGATATTGCTGTACCAGAACCAGACAAGACATTTCAAGCACGAGATATTGCAGTACCAGTAAAGACATAACATAACGAGCACGAGAGATTGCTTTAGATTGCTTTACTAGAAAATACATAACGAGCATGAGAGATTGCTTTACCAGAAAATACATAAAGAGCACGAGAGATTGTTGTACCAGTATCCGATCCCACAACAGAAACTTTAGGCAACTTCAGAGTGCGACTACCCCAAACAAACCAGGGAACGTGGGCAAGCAGAGGAAATAGAATCATCGTCAGGATCCACAGCAACAAATATTGGAGATTTACGAAAACAAGCTTGGGAGAAAATTTTTTTTGAACACCATTACTTTGCCCAGAAACAGAGGAGGAGAAAAATCGCAACATATTGTTTGATTCTGTGTTGCGAAGAGAGATCAATTTTTAATTTATACCTAGGGTTTGGAGAAAGGGTGCTAAGGTGCGACAAGCAATTGGGCTATAGTTTTGGGCTGCTAAGGCCTGGCAACACATTTGGACCCATTGGGCTGCTAATGCCTGGCAACACACATTTGGGCTGCTAAAAATTTAATATAGTAACTATATAAAAATATTAAATTTCAAAATAAAAACAAAAAAACAAAAAAAAAACAAAAACCAAAACTTGAAGTTTTTAAAGCTGGAATATCTATCAAAGAAAACCGAAAAAACATACCAAAATATTCATCTTCTACATCCGATTGAAATAAGAGAAATATACAAAAAAAATTATACATCGGAGTGAAAAGTTTTCTTTTCACTCCAACGAATAAAAACTTCTCGAATATTTCATTATTTCGTGGAGGCATCACATAAGCATAATTCTGGATTTTGTTTGGGACGAATTTTAGTGAATTTCGTCATTGAAGGGTTTTAAGAGAATTTGTCATAGAAAGGGTTTCAATTTAGATCTGAAAGAACAGAAAGAATAGATCTGTAAGAGAAGTGATGTCAGATAAAGGGGGTAAGGGGGCTGCTGTTAGTAAGCCACAGCAGCCCCTACAGTCAAATTTCAGCCATTGATTAAACATAAATTAAAACAAAATCTAATGGCTGAAAATAAATTCAGGGAAATGTGTTATGAACTTTTAGGAATTCCGAATGATATTTCAACGAGTAATCAGAAACTTCATCAATAAGAGGAGAAAGAAAGAGTACTTGAGGAACATCAATGGGCAGATTAAGCTCGCCGGGATTAATGTCCTCCGTCGGCGCTTGCTCTTTCGTCAGCTTGACGTACCTCGACAGGTGGCTGATCTCCTCCGCCATCCATCAGAAGATCTGGAGAAAATTGGAAAAAGGTTAAGAAAAAAAAAAAAATCAAACAGCAACACAAGTTTTTTCTTCAGATCACTCTAATCAAAACCGACAAGCAACTCTCCGATTGAAGCTCTATTGAAAGCAGTTTGGAGTAGTTCTGAAGAGTTGTTCATTTATTTATGGGTACGGGGGCTTTTTGTTTTTGTAATTCTGAAATTAATAAATTTCAAACCTTGTAAAAGATTTCTTGCTTTTGTGATTTTGTAGAGATAATTCATGAGCAAAAAGCTGTACGCCTGCACCTTTCACTTTTCTCAAACACTTTACACTCTCCTCTCTTAAATTGGTTAAACCTTAAACTTCTTAAATTTTATTAATTTATTCCTTATTTATTTTCAGCCATTAGATTTTGTTTTAATTTATGTTTAATCAATGGCTGAAATTTAACTGTAGGGGTTGCTGTGTTTAATCAATGGCTGAAATTTAACTGTAGGGGTTGCTGTTAGTAAGCCACAGCCCCCCTTACCCAGATAAAGGTGTAATTGGTTTCATCCGGGTCTGGCTGTTACACTACAACCCTTGTATTAAAATACATCCAAGGGTTAGAAATCATCTTAAATAAAAAAAAGAAAAAAGAAAAACCACTATCTCCTTCCCTACGGAAATCACCACCGCTTCCGACATATACAAACACATGAAATACTGAATATGTCTAATCTTTATCCCCTTTTTGGGTCTTCCCCTCAACATTTATGAGAAGTCACATAGACATATACATAAGCAAATTGACTTTTATAACTGAAAATAAATAAAATAAATAAACAAATTATACAAAATCACACATAAACACGCGCACACACACACACACACCTGAGTGAGCTTCGCATTGAGCAAGCCGTCAGAATAGGCGCCCTCAGCTGGAGATCTGTTCTCTATGGCGAAAACGTCGTCTTTATACCACAACAGCAACACCGTCTCACCGTCCTGTATGATCACGCGCCGCTCCCCCTTCGGCAGCGCCGCCAGGGGAACCACCGGCACCCAGCTCTTTCCTTTATCCACCGGCGCCGGCGCCGAATAAGAAGACGATGAAGGCGGCGACACATCGGCGGCCTTGCATTTTACAACCCTAACTCCGGCGCGATTGGGTGTCGGATGAAATTCGAACGATAGCTTCGCGAACTCTGGTTTGTGGCGGCGGGGGCGGTGCTGGAAAGGCCGGAGATATAAAAATTAGGTGCCGCTACTGCCATGGCGAGAGGTTGAGAAAAGTAAGGGAGGGGATCTGTGGTGTGGAGGCCAAATGGCCGGCGGAGGGGAAGACAGAGAGTGAACTCCATAGTCACAGAAAATTAAACTTTTGAGATAGTGGATGAGGTAGTGGTTTTTCTTTTTTCTTTTTTTTTTTCTTTTTTTTTATATTTAAGATGATTTCTAACCCTTGGATGTATTTTAATCCAAGAGTTGTAGTGTAACAGCTGGGACTGCTGTAAGTGTGACTCACAGCAGTCTCCCCTCACCCGTTTCATTTATAGTCAATTTATATAGCCTCGAGAGTAGGTATGACAAACCCTAGTCTAAAATATCACCTTATCTTTTTTCTTTTTACTAGTACTGATCCGTGCGATGCACGGAATAATATATTTTTTTCTAAAATTTTTTTTGATATTAACATTAAATTTAATGCACTTTGTAAATATGTAACAAATGTAAAATGAAAAAAAAAAAAAACAAATTTAAAACTTCATAAATTAATAAATATTTTTTTGTACACAACCTCTGATTTGGTGACAAAATTGGGATTGGGTGATTTTTTTGTAAGCCATCGATACAATGAGCTTAAATTGGGTTTTGGGCCTAAATTGGTCCCTTTCAGAAAAAAAGTTATTAACGGGCTTAATTAGACATTTTTTAAATATGATATGGGTTGTTTTTTATTAGGCCGTTTTTTTTTCTTTTGGCAAAATATGTCTTTATTTAATTGACCCGATATTTTATTTACTGGGGCTGCTTTACATAATTTAAATATACTATATAATGTGTTGGTCTGGGATCTGCTCTCCTACCCACGGTGGGCCGGGAATTAATATGCCCACTGCTTATATGGCATGTACACATTGGGCATATTAATTCTCTCCCACTGTTATGCCCAATGTGTACATGCCACATAAGCAGTGCACATATTAATTCCCGGCCCACCGTGGGTAGGGGAGCAGATCCGAGTCTATTTTATGAATTTTATGTGCGTAATATTATGAAAACTAATATACGTGTTTTTATATCAGTTATTATCCATTCTTAATTATTTTTAATTTCATAAACGTGATAATTGTTGTTAGATTGTTTTTATTAATAATATCTATCGATTTTCTATTTTTTAATACCCTTTTATTTTTATAGATTTATTATACATAATCTTTCAAATTTGTTATATGGTCCTCACATATATAATAATTTCAGTCATACCGTTTTTTATCTACTTTATTTTTAAAAGGTAATTTTGTATCTAACTTGTCAAATAAAATAATCATCTTACCAACAAAAATATGGGAAATGCTACAATCCCGTTACGGAACCATTTGTAACCGTTAGATCATCATGTAACCATCCTGGATAATTGATCTAACGGTTACCAATCCCGACGAAATGGTTCTGTAACGGGACTGTAGACTCTCCAAATATATTATGAAAATAAAATATAATATAATATTGTACACTTCTTTATATACAACATTGGAATGTATCATGCATTTAAAAA